AGAACAATAAAAGTTTGCCCTGTACAGTCAGTCAAAGCATATCATCATGAAAATCAACAAAACATTGCTGTGTCGAAATTCATTTTCAACAAAGCTCACCATATGAATAAACTTCCAATGATACCTCCAAATAATCCAAGACCAGCAAATGGAATAAGTTCAACAAATGTCCATTTCATGCTATAGTCAACATGAAACAAAGATGTCTGCAATTTACAATTTTGATAAAATTTCGCATCTAAATACCGAAATTTACCAAACAAACACATATAATATTTAAACACGTAGTACCTATTTAAACCTAACATATTTAAATAAAATATAAAAAACGAAATTTCTTTGTAAACAATTTATTCGAAGAAGATTAAAAAATTCATTACAATAATTTGCTATGCACCTGATCACTTCCAAATGGATTCATTATTCGTAAGATAATTCCAGCAATAAGTGCGCAAAAAAATGAACGCCACATAGTTTTCAAAGGGAAATAATAACTTGCTTCTTCCAAACTGCAATCTTTTATTTCAAGCTAATTGGCCTGGAGTCAATCATTGGTTCTTACAAGAATGTTTTCTAGTCTCGTGACATTAATCTATAAACTCAAAATATAAGTCACTTGACAAAAAGTATGTGCGATAATCATAGATGATTCCCATAAGCTTATTAAAATTACTGAGACTAACAAAAATACCATTTGTTCCTTACTTGCATTATAGCTTGTTTTAAAAAAACTTTAAAAACCATAAAATTACCTGAATAGAACTCCTCCTATAGGAGCACCGAATGCAACTGAAACACCGGCTGCAGCGGAGGCACTTAATATTTCACGTTTTTTGGCTTCATTTGAACCATATTTTGGAAAAAGATAAGAAAATATATTTCCTATGCAACAAGCCAAATGAACCATTGGACCTTCTTTTCCCAAATTCAAACCTTAAATATCATAGAACAAATTATCTTGTCCAAAACTGAATTTAGAATATCCATAAATAGTTCTCTTGTCTATTTAAAAAAAATGCTTAATACTGCAAAAAATATGAAAAATTCACCAACCAGATGCAGATGCCAAGATTAAGCCAACAGATTTAATAATGAAAGTCCATTTACCCAAATAACCTCTAATGATAAAACCGGATAGAATGCATTTGATCTCAGGTATACCCGAACCGCAAGCATATGGAGCAAATACCTAGAAACAGAAATTTTATATCAACAAATTTTAAGATACTTGATTAATTTTTAAGAAATACAATATGCTTGTCTTCTTGTTCACATGTTTCATTTTTTTTCGGATATCACTTCCAAATCTCGAGATATATTTTTTCTTTCTTCTTTTTAAAAGCAGAACTGATAGAAATCAACTTCAATTAACACAAAAATGAAAGTGCATTAAAGTTACCTTAACCAAAGCTACAGTAACTCCTGTCATCAATACACTCCAGCCACAATAAAAAAATAATTCCATTACATAATAAAAGAAATTTCGTTCATAAAACTGCATCATTTCAGGCCAAGATGTCCATGCCGAACAATCGGCATCTTTATAAACACTATCATTTGCTGACCAACAACAATGCTCACGATCAAGCCAAAATCGATCGGCACATATACCATCCTGTAAGAACCAGAGTATTACAAAAAAAAAAAAAAATTTTTTTCAAAGTAATCACAAAGAACTCTTCCATTCTTTTATTTCTTCAACAATGATCAGAACTAATGTTCCATTCATTCCCTATTTAAATCACTTGAATTCAGAAGGCTTTCCAGAAAAAAGTACATTTCACAGAGACATTACCTTTAAATCACTCATCCAACGTGCTCCAATATCAATAATACCAGCAATGGTACCAGCAGCAAGACCAACCATCAATACACATACCCAACCACTTCCCGCATCCCATAAACTACACAATTTACCAAAAGGAGTTTTTGATTGTTTTACGATAAATTTGTGACGTAATCTATCCCGTGCAAGATCTCTTTGCCAATCTATTGTATGAAAGTCACCATACCGACTGTAAAAAACACTTTACTTCCGATTGGAGCAAAATAAATAAATGATTACTGTCCGTAACTCCTTCAAACTGTATCGCCAAAAGAAAACATCTCAAGCATTCTAGGTTCCCAAGCTTCGGAACTTAGAGTGCTTCAGAACGTTTTTGACACAAGTAGGGATAAATTTGAGTCAATTATTTTAATTCCCTCAGTGTTTTTTCCATATGGCACTACTCACACGAATCAATAGAAATCGGTAGAAACCTCTCTATTGGCGGTGATGCTTCATCAATAATTATTTCATCACTGTCGGTTAATGCAATAAAATTACTTGCACTTGTACCTGGAATAGATGGTTAAGTCTTTAGTTGAAATAAATGAATAATTCATATCTTAAATTTAAAGGGTGAAGATTTTAACCATATGATTTAATAAAATCATACGTTCTAAGCAAAAGAAAATGATTAAAACTTTCACAAAATGAAATTCATGAATGAACAAATAAACATACCGCGATATTTTAATGTCTCACGATTACTCTGTTTAGCATGTACCATTGCTGGTGCTGTATTGGAAGTGGAAATATTGGAAGAAGGAACAATTATATCATTATCATCCATCATTATACTTGTTTCTAGCTCGATTTGAGTCCTTTTTATTGCTCGACACCGGTTAAATATTGACAGTTGCGTTCTGGATTGATTCGGTGATATTAAGCACGTTGTTTCAGTTTGCTACAAAAAAAAGTAATCTTTCCTACAATTTACCTAATCCAAGCAGAATCCTACTGTCCATTGAGAAATACATGAGTAAATCCTAATCAACTTTTTTTCCATGGTACAAACATTTCAAACCCTTACAGGTTTTGATATACAGCTCTTTCAAGATTTCTAGCCTTACATAAACGGCATTCTATTCAACCTATGATAATAGGAATAATGCTTCAAGCTCCAGCTATCTATCCAACTATCCATCCATGTTTCCATGAGTCAAATGCACTTGTAGTTATTCCCAAAAGCAACATCAAAATCGTTCGAAAAATCACTTTTATATTCCAGTTATCATCCACTTTCTTATTCTAGTTTTATAACTTTCTCGTGCCTAATTTCGTCTCCACTCCAACTAAGAACACTTCCTTGCCCGGCTTTTTCATCATGCTCGCATCAGCCTTCACGTCTACTTTTATTAAATAAAAAAGCAACTAACAAAAAGAGAAAGTTAACAGGTAGCTGAAAAAAAGAAAAAAAAAAAAAAAAACGCACCTCGTCACTAATCCAAGAACTGCTCATAGAAAGTGAGACTGATCAACTCTCACAAGCATTTTTTGTGCCTAAATCGGCAGTTTCCTAAAAAAAGAAAAAAAAAAAAAATTACAACATTTAATCTTTAATCTTAACGACAGTAAAGTGAATTTTTTTTTAAAGTAATACAGATATTAACAAAAATGATACATTACCGTCTGATTTAGCTCAAGTTTTATAAATTATGAAATATCTATGAGAGGAAGAAAAGTGAATTTTCCCCTTAGAAAAACAGCAATAATAAAAGATAATGCAATCGGTTAAACCAAAAATCAAAAAGAAGAAGATTAGTAATAATTATTATTGTTGTTGTTAAATATAAAATCAAACAATTAAAGCTAATAATATTTTCTTTGTAAGCAAATTTAAAATTTAACTCTCCTCCTCATCTCACCGACAAACCTTAGAGTAAAATAAGTGTTAACGACTACGACCGCCCGCTAAGCGACACCTTCTAACAGTGTAAGCTGTCCCGATGTAACAAGATGTAACACGGCCCTGTATATCAAGCAGTTATCGTTTCAGAGTAATTCCGATTTGTTGTTTACAACGATTTACAGTTTTATTTAATTTTAATTAACTATAAATGTTGTATTTGAATTAGATTTATTCTTATTAGAACTGAAAATTGAATTAACAGTTTAGTTTGATATATCATTTGATTTTAATTAATTTTAAATTTCGTATTTGAATTAAGTCTATTTTTATCAGGATTGAAAATTAAATCAACATTTCAGTTTGATTTATTATTTGATTTTAGTTTTTAAATCATGTATTTCAATTATGTTTATTCTTATTAGCACTGAAAAATGAATCAGCTTTTCAGTTTGAAAGGATATATTTCGGAAATTTCAAAACATGTCATACTTATCCGTTTTAAGCTTTTTTTTTTTTTAAATCAATGGATCAAGTCAATCTGCTAAATCGAGTTCGTCTTTCTCATCTTTTTTTTTACAATTAATTTATTTTTTTATAGGCTGTTGATTGACTAAAATTTAACTGATTAAAACATATCTTGATTCAGTTTCATCGACTTATAATTTGATAGGAAGTTTCGTCATTCATTGGTTTTTATTAGTAATATTTGGTTTTCATCAATTATTTTTTTTTTTTAAATAATTTGTTTTTTATTTTTCCTTTCATACCAATTTATATGATATTTTAATGTGTTTGAAAATTTTTACATTCATAATTGTTTGTCATATCTTTCATATACTCATTTCTTTTCATGTAGACATGACAAATGATATGCAAATTTTTTTCTTATATTAATATATATAATTTCTTTTTATCAGATTATGTATATTGTTTTTTCTATTTTTATTATTTTCTTTTAATGCCAGTTTTTATAACATATATAATGTTGCACTTGCATAGTCTTTTTTGCTCATATTTTATGTATTACTATTTTTTTTTTTTTCCATCACAATATATGTAAATTAGTTTATGCATATTTTTGCATATGCATTCTCTTAATTTATCTTAACTGTTTGGTATAAGGAAATAAATAGGGACTGAAATGATAGTATACGAGATGATAAGATAGATATGTAAAATTAAATATTGAATGAAAATGTTGATCATTCTAGTGATCGCATTCGATCATTAAAGAAAGCAAATCAGAAAGAAGTGGAAAAGTGTTGTTATATCAAAAGGTGCAGAAAAAGTAAAAAAGTGTGGTAATTAAACTTATCCATTGGATCGATGAATGCGCAAGGTCAGTGCTGATTTTTATATATTTCTCTTTCTTTCCTAAGCTTTTTTTCCTCTTTTTTATTTTTATTTTTTTTTTCTAATTTGAAAATTTTTTGATGTGTTCAAGTTTCTTGTTGATTCTGTTTGAAAAAAATTTTTTTTTAATTGTCTGAATTTTAAAATCGTTCATTTTTTATAATAGAAATGATAAACAGAAAAAGTATAAAAAATAAATGTAATAGTAGGTAAATTGTAAATGTTTTTTAATAAGTTATAACTTTAATCTTATATGCAATTAACATCAATCAAGAGCTAATCAAAATAAGGCAAATGTCATTTTGAGAATGATGAATCATTTCAATATTTGTAACAGTTATTTGAAGCAGAAATAGTAATACATTTATTAGAAAAACTTGTCATAGTGAAAAATTTGTTCTTTGATAATTTTAATAATAAAATAATGCCTTTCGTTTTTTGACTTCTTCGTTGGTGGACTGTAGCGAAAATACTTGCACATATATTGTTGATTATGAATCAAATGAATTCAAGCTTGTAATCCAGATTACTTATTATATCAATTAGAAAAAAAAAAAAAAACTTCCAGCAATATTACACATGTAGTGAATGGACTTGAATTATGTATGGATTAAAATTGAAATTTAATTGTTGTATATCTATTTCAGGATCAGGAAAGCCGGAATTGCTGAGACGTGTACGACCAAATTTTGCTGATGATGGTTAGCATAGTGGTTTCTACTGATTATTGCAAAATATACCATTATTATATGTGAAAATTTGACTCGAAAGTATAGGTTATGAATGATGACAGCTGTAAGGTTAGATAGAGAATTATTACTTATACAGAAAGTATGGTTAAACTACTACTTAATATAATTAAGTAGTTTTGTGAATATTAACATTAAAAGTGACACATACTATTTTTGATAAGTTCATAGCATATTATTTTATAGTATACGGTTCAAATGTCTCAAAATTTAACGATAATGTGGAGCACGTGGAAAATATTACGGAAGATCGAGCAGACATTTGCGAATCAGCACTTGCACAAAGACGTTCTGCACAACTGCCAAAACTCAAAAAAATTTCAAACAAACCGAGGCCATTAAGCAATGATTACTCGGTATTCGTCTTTATATCGTTTTTGCTTTATCTTAATTCGATGTAACCTGAAAATTCGGATTAATTTGTTTGATTTAGCATATATAATTACATTTTATATTTTACTGCTACTGAAGTTAGGATTCAGCTACAAAAGTACTTAATTGGTTACTTATTAATATACGACTTGTTTCCCGTTGCAATTAACACAGCAACAGTTTTTTTTTTTTTGACTTTTTTTTTTCCTGATTCCAGATTAATTTGTCTTTTTCAGGTTAACTAATTTCATTAATTATTGGTGTGTTTAGACGCGGTGTGAAATGAATGATTTTGAATTTGTCTATTCTGACTGTGATACACATGCAGCAGAACTGGCTGAGCTTTATACCTACAGTGAGTTGGACGATTGGATATTGAACATGCGTGCTTATCGAGATTTCATAGAATCTAGGAAGGTAATTTGTTACAAAATATTATAGGTTACCTAATTGTTACTTATGATTGGACTCGGTATACATTACACAAGTAATAAGTTTCATTATTTTTGCCGTTTGCATGCTGGATTTAAAATTTATAATATTAAGATTCTATTCTTAAATTTATGTTACTCTAATTATGCCATTAAAAAGTGAGTCATTCTTAGCTTAATCATAAGTGGTCAAAGCTTACGGAAAGTCAACAAAAAGATGTTTTGTTGAGTTTGCTAGAAGAGTTGGAACGAGTCGAGCCAAATGTACGATTAAATGCTGCACGATCTATACTTTATATATTGCAGGTTTGTAGTTAATTAGCTAATTAGCAATGAGCATTTTCAATTATGGGCTAGGCTATTTACGTGTATCTTTATCATATTGACTTGATAAATGACAAGTTGTAGTATTTCTCAGTGATAAGGCGTAGTATCTCGCATTATCTCACGCTTTAGTATATTTTTCCAAGAATTTAATGAATATGTTGATATTTTATTTTATCAGCATTGTTAGTGATATATAATCTGCAACTAATTTTAGTCCGTGAAATATAATAACATTTTTATATTATTTTCAATATTATAGGGTGCATATATGGATTTTGTCGATGACAAAGATATTACTATTAATGGTGTCTTTAGAGATCATGGTGAGAAAGAATGTGACAACAATGATTTAAGTATGGAATACTACGAGGAAAAGTGTCTAACACAAGGGATTTTCAATGCCTATAAGGCATATGAAGCTGGAACTTATCAGGTATATTTGAATATTTGAATGTATTTGTATATTTGAATTTTTGAACTTTAGCTATCCTATAAACCATATGAAGCTGGAAGAAAATATTTAAATTTTAGATGTATTCAGTGAATTTCTACAGTATGAAATTATTGCACAGAAGACTAATTTTAGCTATAATTTTTCTTCAGGCTTTATGTAAACTACTGTTAACTGAAACTCATGATATTTGGGATAGTGGACCAGTTGGAGTAGGTCAATATAGCCAATCGTCTTCAGTGTCAAATAGCCGATCAGCATCCAATGCTGATCTTTCGGAAAGTATTGGTGCGGTTTTCCTACATGAATATTTGTCACTGCTATTTTTTAGCATAGAATAATTGTTAATTCAAAATTGCCAATAATTTTCAACTTCAAACATTTGAAATCTTTTAGTAAATTTTTGATTAGAATAATATCACAATTCGTTATTTTTTCTATTACTTTCATTGTTTTTGAATTTCGAAAAGAATTTCAGCTTATCTACAGAATTAGTACAGAAATGGCATCTAATAAATTTGAATACTTTTAATAACAAAATTATTTTACAGTGGAAAGGCGATGTAATCGACGAAGTGCTACAATGGCTGATAACGAAACACTGCGTGTAACACTGAGTGCCCTATATCATATGGTAGAGTCAATACGACGATTAGATTTGTTTGAACTTCTTATTCCCGCAGATCAGAAATCTCACTATGGTTTGCTGAGAAAAGATTTTATTATAGAAATTGGTTAGTTCACTTTTTTTTTTCTCTTTGTGAGAAAAGATTTTATTATGGAAATTGGTCAATTTTTTTTTCTTTTTTTTTCTGTAAATTCAACATACATTTTATTACATTTTAGATATAAGTGATATGATTGTCAATTGTAATCATATGAAACATTTTTAGAAGAGGTGATTGAAGGCGCTGATATGTCGTTGATTATGATTTTGCTCGAAATGATGCCTGCATTTTGCCATGGAAATAGTCCTCATTTCCCAATGAAAAAAGTATTGCTTCTAGTTTGATGTGATTAAATCGCTAGTACGATCGAATTAGCCATTTACGGATTGGCATTTTGATTGAAATTGATAGTGCGAATAATCTAGATCGTTTAGCTTAATCCGCTGAATAAGTAGCTTCATTTGCTGAGTATATATATATTAGATGTATGGATAACTCAGATTTTATGATACCTAAAGGAAAATTTTTTTTTGTTTGAAGTTTTTTAACTTAGCTAAAATCTTATTTTCAGGTCCTTTTACTAGTTTGGAAAACACTTTTGGCAATATTAGGTGGTTGGAAGGAGTTGCGTGAAGGAAAAGCTGCTAAACGAGCAGCAGCAAATTTAAGCTCAGTTGAAGACACACTTCTTGTTGCCAGTGCAATGAAATCATCTTCGATAAATGGCAATGATTCGGAGCAAAATCAAGGTGATTTTCACTTGAAATTTCAACAATTCGTAAATTTCAAATTTTGCTTTTGTAGATTTTTTGAGTTATTTAAACTCAGAAATTCTAGTTTGCAATATATTAAGGATTTTAATTTATTACAGGTGGTGTTGTTCGTCCAAAGCGAACACTTCATCCTTCAGCTCGATTAATTTGTCGTCAATTTGCTAGTACTACTTCTGGTTCACTTGAAGGTTGATCTTCCTTGTTTTATGATGTCTTTCCTGTTTTATTGTACTACGAAATAAACTGCGAAATTCAAAATTGTATTAAATTACAGATAAAAATGATGCAGAACTGGATAAAATAGAAGCTGAATATGCAGAAGTTGATCAAACTGTAGCAGATTTAAGTCTCCCTAATAAAAATGGAAATGATTTAAGCTACGCAATAATTGAAGAATCATCTCAGATTCCAAGTAATTTATTGATTTCGAGAATGAATAATTTTTAAAAGTTTTGAAAAAAAAAAAAAAACTTCTAATGATTTTAGAAGAATTTGTAATAAGCAATCATTACCATTATAATCAATGTGAGATTGTTTTGGCGATTAATATTTTAGCTCCTACCCTGGCAAAAGAAGAAATACCATATATGAGAAGTAAATTGAGTCGTCCAAATCCGTTAATGCGGTACTTTTTCAATCAATTGAATTTTTTAATCCTTGCTTAATTGCTGAATTTGATTAAATTTAATGCAGTTCTTTATGATACTTAAAACTTAATTGATCAAAGAGAAGTCTGGAAGTAGATCTTTGGAATATGCAAGAAAATTTTGGGAAAATATGATATTAAAGTTGCATATTCCTGCTATAATGTAGATGTATCCAGTTTTGACCTTTGCAGAAGTTCGCATACAGATGATCATACACCGGTAGCAGGTACACCTCCACCTATTGATATACTTTTCCGAACTTCGTTACCGTGGAATTCGAAAGTTCGTGAAGAAGATATCGAAGCATTTCTTCAGTGTGAAAGGTTAATATTATTTGGTCTTTTTTTCTTTTGTGTTTGGTAAATTTATAAATTTCTGTATCACTAAATTTAAATTATGTATAAAAAATTATGATGATGATAGTAGATTGGAGCAAATCAAAATTAATTTAGTTTCCAGTATAATTTTTAGAATGAAGTTTTTACATTATCGTTTACCGAATGATTCAACAACAGTATTTGGTTTGCCATTACCAATTCAAAAAAGTGTCCAAGCACTTCGTCGTCACATTTATATTTCACTGGGTGAATTACAAGTATGTTATTGTTTAGATTTCAAATGTCATTTCAATTTTTTTTTTTTAGTTGTGATTGTAAGTGCTGCAGAATTGATTGCTTGCAGGCAAATCGAGAAAAAGAATTAAATCGATATATGTTTTCACAGCGGGAAACTAATATTCCAATGAATAGTGCAGAAAAATTATATCGGATGATGTTGCCTAATTTGAGTCAGTACATTATTGCTTTATTAAAAGTATTACTAGCTGCTGCACCTTCTTCAAAGGTTAATTTCTCGTTTTAAGATTATAATATTATAGCATCGATTATTTATAAAATAATGTATTTACTTGAAACTTAATGGCATAATTATGCTTACATGGTGGTCACTGTATTTTGTGGCAAGATATTCATGTTGATTTCAATCTCAAAAATTTTGACAGTACAAAGATATTATGGCAACTTACGATGATGTGTTATTTAATTATTATTCTCAGGACTAGAAGCATCTTTTTGTAATTCCTCTTTATTGTAGGCAAAAAGTGAAGCAATCAATATATTGTCGGATGTGTTGACACCTGAAACGAATAAGGAGATGCTTTCAAATTCGCTCAATCTTGATAGTTCACTCTCTAATATCCTTGAGCAAAGCGTTCGTATTGCAATTGATGTTAATCGACACAAAGAGGTGTTTTATTTTTATGTTTATTTATTAAAATAACAAAATATGCTGTGATCACCTAAGAAATTATTATATTCAAATTTTAAGTTTTTTGTAATTTCAAAAAGAAAAAAAAAAAGGAAGAAAAAAGTATCTCAATGCATTTCTAAAGTGATTTTTAGATAATGGTTAAAGCTGCTTCTGCAATTTTAATATTACTGATGAAGCATTTTCGATTAAATCACATATATCAATTTGAATATATTGGACAGCATCTTGTTTTCGCTAATTGTATTCCATTAATCCTGAAATTTATGGATCAAAATATGGTTCGATATATACAATCGAAACATGAACTACCACCGTACAATTATCCATATGCTCCACTTTATTATGTGCGAAATCATGGTGAATTCTTATTTTTAATTTTTTATCGGGAATTGACTTTATGCTACTAATGATTATTCATAATATTCATTGCAGAATTAATTCTTTTTTAAATTGTTAGATAAACCAAAATACACATATTCTCTCTCTCTTTCTTTTTGTCTCCTTTCTGCTTCCTATTTATTAGTTATTGATCTTTCTCTTATCTTATATATTTGATTAATTTGCTTGAATTTGTTGTTTTTGTCTAAAATTTCTTTATTATCATCTTTGTTTCTTCTCTATGAGTAATGTGGTAATCATTCACTCCGTTTGCTTAAAATGTGTATCATACCCACGTGAATTCTAAATTAGAATTACAAGTATATAATTACTAATTCAAAAGCATAAGCAGAATGATCATTACTGACTATTATAATAAATTTCGAATTGATAAGTTTAAATTTTTTCTTAACCTATAATAGTAGTATTATAGAAGAATGGCCAATGTTGAATGTTAATAATCTCGAGGAAAGTGATTCGCAATCACCTTCGTACTATTTATGGCGTAACGTTTTCTCAGCTATTAATCTCTTACGTGTTTTGAACAAACTGACAAAATGGAAACATGCGCGTACGATGATGCTTGTAGTATTCAAATCTGCGCCAATTTTAAAACGCTCATTGAGAGTTAAATTGGTTTGTTATTATTATTATTGCAAATATGTGAAGTTAATTAATATGTTAACTTTTATTTTTCCATAAGATTTTCAATTTTTTGAATAAATAACGAACAGAAATGATTTAATATGAATTATGATTCCTTTATTTTATTTTTGTCCATAATATTGAGTTGTTGTTTCTTTTTTTTCTGTCAATAAAGGAATGTGAAAATTTTATTATTAAAGTAGAACTTTTAATATATGATTCTAATTTAATATTGCAGTTTTATTTGGAAATCAGTTTGCCTTCTTTTTTTTTTTTTTTTTTTCAGGCAGTATTTCAATTATATGTATTAAAATTGCTAAAAATGCAAGCTCGATATCTTGGACGACAGTGGAGACGAACAAATATGGAAATTATGTCGGCAATTTATGCAAAAGTTCGACATAGGTGAATTTTGATTATTTTACAAAGTAAGTGTAATTATAAAATTTAAAAAAGCAGAATGAGTATTGTATAAGTACAAGAAATTCTTATCTGATCATACTGTTAACTATTTTTTTTTTCACTAGCATAACTATTGTTTTTTTCTGGAAAATTTTGTTAAATCTGTTAAAAAATCTTCGTTTACAATATTTGACAAATCTTAATTTATTGCGGAAACATTTTTTAATTTTAAACTTATTTATTATACTAATAAGCTATAATATTCATTAGTTGAAAACGTATGAATAGCATTTGTTTGTTTAATTTGTATGAAAAAATTTAATAACTTTACATTTAGATTAAATGATGATTGGGCTTATGCAAATGAAACTCGTTCGAAATCATGGGATTTTCAAAATGAGGAAGCAGCACTGAAAACTGCAGTAGAAAGGTTCAATTCAAGACGTTATGCTTCGTTATATCCTGCATTTGCATTAGGTAAGTTTCATTGCAAAGTTTATATGATAATGTTTAAATATTTATTGCTTTTCAGTTGTTAGCTAGGATCCAAGTTGAGTTTTTTTTTTTTTTTTTTTTCTTTTTTCTGTATCTGATTAATGAGAAATCGGTTAAGATTAATACGACAGTCACTGTTGCATTTTTGTTTACATTAATTTTTCAAATTTTCAGTTGTATTTGAGTCTTAAAGAACTACAAAATAAGTGTGAGTTCTTATAGGTGTTGCAGAAGATGAGTCATTAATAGTTGAAAATTTAATAGTCGAAAAATGAAGTACTGAATGGTTTGAATTGTTACATTTTCAATCATTTTTTTTTTTTTTTTTTACATATATATATATATTTTTACCTATATATTTTTTTACATACATATTTTTTTTCTTTACATACATACATATATTTTATGTATAGAATTGTTACATATATTAACAAGTTTATTATTATTCTTAGCATAACTGTTGTTTTTTTCCGAAAAATTTTATTTAATTTATTAAAATATTTTTGATTTGTTGCAGAAATATTTGAATTTAAAGCTTATGTTAATAAGTTATGTATCAATGAGATAGATTTTTTTTTAATGTTTTTTTTTTTTTTTTTTTAACATAGATTTTTTTAAATGTTTTTTTAAATGATTTTTTTTTTTAAATAAAATTCTGTTTTATTTGTAGAAATTGGAGAAGCTTCATCTCCAGGTGATAGTTATTTGGATAATGTTGATATGAACGAATTTGAACCAATGGATAATAGTTTTCAATCATTATTGGGTACAAAAGTGGAATTAAGTGATCGATTTAAGCGTAATTATGCTAGATGGATTGATGATGAAGTGATTAAAAATCATACAAATTGGGATTTGCTTGTAGCACTTACACATGGCATCATTGATTCTATATAATACTTTTTTTTTTTGATTGTGACAAATTTAAAATTTATTTGTCTTTCTTTGTTTTTTTTTTCTCTGTGTTGTTTATTTTGAAGTTTAATTTTTTCTTTTATTTCAATCATATTGCTATCAAAAATTGCTTTCTTAAATGTATTTTTTTTTTTTTTTCAATATATTTTATTTGTATTTAAATGCACTGATTGTATCTCTGTATGTGCAATATGTTTTGGATATTGAATTTTGAAATGATTTTCTTTTTAGTTACTATATAATTTGGTGACAGTTTAAGATTGATAGAGAAATTAATACTGTGTTTGATTTTAGTGCGATATAAATTTTGTGATTCATAACTTTAAAAAAAAAAAAAAAAAAAACGCGAAGAGTTTGTTTTATTTGCTTATGGATAAATAAATAATTTATCATTTGGATTTGAAATTTGGCAAATTTAATTAGTAAACATTATATTTTAGTGCAAATGAGAAATATATGCAAAATTTCATTTCGTTTATTTGTCATTTCACATATGTTACAATGATATGTTTATTTTATTGGATATCGATTAAACATTTTTATGCTTCCTTGAGTTATTAATAAATTTTTTTTTTTTTGAAACTATAAACAATGTTTAATTTGATTATTACAAGAGGAATAATATTTCTTATTTGAAATATTTATCAAATTCCATTCATCAATACTAAAATAAATCTTACAAGATAATATTGTATGCTACGATTAGAAAAACAAAAAAAGTGAAATAGGAAAATCGTTAAAATTCTTTTTTTTTTCTTTTGACTATATTTTTTTTTTGATTTTATATAAATAGCAAAATTGGTTCTAAAAAATTTGAAAAAAGAAAAATGATTACAAAAAGATAAAAAAGTGTCACAAAAAGAGAAAAAAAAAATATCATTTTCAAATTTATCAATTAAGTTATCAAACTTTGAAATTCTTTAAGTATAGATACGATAATAATTTAGAGAATATATTGTAAAGTTTTATTTTCTAATTTTCTATTAATTTTATGATTGGAATTAGTTTATGATTGATAATTGTAATTTTATGATTAAAAATAATGGGAATTTCTACTATAGTAAATAGTATTTCAAAAAAAAAAGTGTTTAAAATTTAGCATAAATATAAAAGAAGTAATTTCTTCATGTAATGATAACAACAAATAATTGGTACAGTCATTGAATAGTAATATGTTATGTTATGTATGATTAAATGAAATTAATTAATTAAAATTTTTCAATCTTTCCCAAAATATTTTTATAAAAATGTTTATAGAAAATCTTTAGCAAACTTTAATTATTAGTTTAGTTAAATGAAGCTAATTAAATAAAAATTGATTATATGAACTTTATATGTGTACGGGAGGATATCGTATTATATTGCATAAACAAGGATAAATCTGAATAAATTTAATAAAATTGTACTAATCATTCAGAGAAAGCAAAAATGTTAGATATAATATCATATTATAAGCGATTATCATGATAATCACAAGAATTATCATGATATGATAAGAGGATTGCTGGACTGTTATCTATATAAAGATGCTTATTTCATCTTTAGATATCATATTATGAGCGATTATCATGATAATCACAAGAATTATCATGATATGATAAGAGGATTGCTGGACTGTTATCTATATAAAGATGCTTATTTCATCTTTAGATATCATATTATGAGCGATTATCATGATAATCACAAGAATTATCATGATATGATAAGAGGATTGCTGGACTGTTATCTATATAAAGATGCTAATTTCATTAGGTATTTCAGTAGCAATTACTGCTGAGTTAATATTATTATTGTTATTGTAAAAATCATTATTGTAATCGTAATAATTCTTCTTGAAATTGGAAAAAATTTAAGATAATTGTTATTGAAGCATTTATCATTTAATTTAATAATTAATGTATTAATATGGTTAATCATTAATTTATTATACATATTATGAGGAATCATACTTCAATATTATCTAATTTTTTTTTTCCTCAATTTGTTCAGAAAAAATTTCATCTATAAAATCATGAAAATCACTTATAACTGTCAAAATTGTAATTAATTTTAATAATTATAAACAATCATATTAATACATGATTTTATAGCGATAATGATTTAACTATGATTGCATAATTGTTTCGTTAATTATATGAATAATAATAGATGGTAATAATTGATATGCAAATGTATTTTTGATAATAAATAATTTAATTAAACAAATGCAAATGAAAATGCAAAAAAAGCTGTTTAATTCGAAAGGTATTTAAATTGAAATTTAACAGTTATTGTTAAAATAATCAGTAGTTATTTACTTGATTTGTAAACAGGACGATAACATGTTTTTTCGAGAGCTATCACCAAATCATTCCATTCGGTTTATCATAATGAAAAATTTTTTTTGAAAAAAAAAAAAAGGAGATGATAAGATAATTAAATCAATAGAAAACAAAATAATCAAAAAAACAAAGGAATGTAAAATGCGTATTATTTATGAAGGAAGAAAAATAAATTTAAAATAATTTTTCAAAATTATTATTGATATATTATACCATTATTGATAATACACCATTAAAAAAAAATGGTAACAGAAATTAATATTTTAATTATTTTAAATAACAAAAAAACATTTCATATAAATATTTTATTTGTTGTTACTATCATATAACATCTCAAATGTTATAAGTATTTCATTTATCATTATTATTATTACTGCTGTTATTAGCATTATTACTATTATTCATTATTATTATTCGTTATTATTACTATTATTATTATTATTATTATCATTATTCATTATTATTATTACTATTATTCCTATTGTTATTGCTATTATTATCCATTATATTAGTACTATCATTGTTGCTATCATTATTATCATTATTACTATTCATTATTATTATTTATTATTGTTACTATTATGCATTTCAAGTGTTACAAATATTTTATTACAATTATAATTTGACAAAACTATTTTATCATTTGTGTGTCATTTAGAAATGACAGAAATACAGCATCGAACTGCTGTTGCTTTATGTCACCATCAGGTCGTTATGCTGTATGCATTAGTCGTATTGAAGTATTCGATTCTCGACCAATTGAAACTCACTTTTATAATTATAATTTTATTATTTCTGATTTTATACTTGATACTAAAATACAATATATCTCAACATGTGGTCCTTTTAAAGTATTAACTTTGGCTTTCTTTTTTTTTTTTTTTTTTTTTTTTACATATTTTAAAACAGTTAATATATAGTAGTAATTCCTTAATTTAAAATTATATTTATTCGAAAACATTTTCTTTTTTATTTTTGTGTTGATTTTTAAATCATAAATGTAAATAGAAATTTTAAAGTTTAAAAGAAAATTTCATCGATTGATTGATATAAAATTTTATTGATTGATACTTTCATAGAAAAAAATTTTTTTAATTGATTGATATAAAAAAAAAAAACAAATTTTTAACCTTTAATATATTTATTTCACACTAAATAGAAATTGGTGAATTTTGATCATATTTCAAAGTGAATAAGATAAAATTATGAATGAGTACTAATGGAGCATATGTTTTATATGTAAACAAAATAAACAAACGTGTACTAATGGAGCATATGTTTTATATGTAAACATAAACAAACAAACAAACAAATAAACAAAAAAAAAAAAAAGAATAAAAATTATACAATGAATGGAATTAAAACAAAATTCATTTGCAGAGATTTCATCGTTTTTATTTTTTAAATGATACAACCGGAATACTTGTTGATTTTTCACGTAATAATGGTACCATAACACAAAATGTCATACAATTTTCACACGTGAATCATACGGTAACGTGTGAATACGGTCGTATTTGGTATTTTGACGTTGATGATATGTTGTATGAAACGGATGACACAAATATAATTTGTACAACAGAATTAATGAATTATAAAAATATCAGTAAAGTTTTAGTATTTATTAACAAAAATTAAAATATTAATAACGAAAAAAAAAATATTTTTTATTGATAGATATTTTGATAGAATTATAATTTAAAAAAAAATTTGATAGAATTAAAAAAAAAAAAACCGTAATTATTAGTTTATTTCTTATAAATGATAAATTCGAGTACAACTAAAAACGACTTTTTTTTTTTTTTTTGGATATATTATTAATTATTAAATTAAAAAAAAAAAAATCCGTAACATTTAAAACGTTTGTAAATAACCTTTGACACGTCGGTAACCTTTGACATATTTATTTTTGTGAACATTTAAACAGAAATAAATATTTTCTACATCTAAAAATGAATAATATTTTTTTTTTAATATATTATAATTAAATGAAAATCTGCAACATTTAACCATTAACATATTCATTTTCTTATTAACAATGATAAATTTTTTGTTACAAATAATATATATAAGTTATTGTATGAAATTAATTATTGTAAGAAATATTATACCTATAAATATTATAAAATTATAATTAATCTTGTTAAAAAGATAATTTAAGTCAGATTAATTTAAAGTAAATTATGTAAATGAGATTAATTCAATGTTTTTTTTTTTTTCTTTTGTAAGATTAGTAATTGAAATGAGATTAATTTAATGTTTTTATTTTTATAAAGTTAATAATTTAAATGAGATTAATTTAATGTTTTTACTTTTATAAAGTTAATAATTTAAATGAGATTAATTTAATGTTTTTACTTTTATAAAGTTAATAATTTAAATGAGATTAATTTAATATTATAATTAATTTTTCTCTCTCTCTCTCTATCTCTCTTTTTTTTTAGCTTATTTACCATTACTTGGTGAAAAAGATTATTTATCAGAAATATTTATTCGATTAATACCAGCAAATCCATTTCATACAAATAATTTTACTATACCAATGCTAGAAATTAATGAACAAAATGCATTTAAAAATAAAATACAAATAAATATTGGCGAATTATTTGATGCAACAGAGTTATGCATCGATACATTTTGTTATCCATTAATTAATGAAACATCGTTGTATTTCATCGTACGACTTCGAACGGTTCTCTTAATTAATTAATTAATTAATTAACTAATTGTTTTATTTATTAATTTAACTAAGTTATTAAATATTATTTAAATAATTGAGATTTTTTTTTTATATAATACTAAAAAAAAAAAACTATTTTTTTTGTATGTGTCACTATCTTCATTATATTAATTTTTCCTTTTTTGTTTTTTTTTTTTTTTATTTTTCATAATTTCATCTTTTCAATATTTATAAAATTTTTTTTAGCAATTTTTTTCTTTTTACAATAATCAATAATAAAATTAATTAATTCGACATAAAAATTTAATTAGACCAAAACATTTTTAATTGATCATAAAATTAATAAAAATTATCAATGTTACTACTTCATTTAATTTCATTCATTTCATTTATTTAAAAAACTATAAAAACATACATCATAGGATTATACAAGAATGAATTTAAAAGAAAAAAAAAAAAAAAAAAAATTAAAAAATCACATAATACTCACTTCTTGCCCTGATTTCTTACTTACCCATTTATATGGGTAAAATTTTTTTCATTTCTCTTCTTTTATTGGTTAAAATTTTTCTTTTTTTCTTTACTGAGAATTCATTTTTTACTAATATTTCACTCATATTTATTTACATAAAATTTTAAAAGCTATCAAAATAAGTTTAATTTATGTAAAATATTTTAATAACAAAATAATTAAAAAATGTTGGTAATATTTTTTTGATATTTTTTCATTAATTATTTTTTATATAATAGCAATATCTTTATGTAATAATACATATAAATATTGATAAAATGCTTATTTTTTTTTCTTTTATTTGATTATAAATAATTTTTATAATATTTATGCATAATTCTTTACATGTATATATATATATTTTTTTCAGAATCCTCAAAATGATAGACAAACTTGCATTGCTATGCTAAAATTTGATTTTAAAAATTATTTCGAAAATAATTTTTCATCAACAGCAAAAATTATCAGTAATCTTTTACCATTACAATGGAAATTAACATTAGCTGAAAATTTTTCTTTACGACCACATTATGTTCGAATTATGGCACAACAAGGACCAATCGTACTTCTACGAACATTTATTTTTGCATCAGAACGAATATGGATTTTAATTAATTTAAATACAATGATAATGAGTCCATCAAATTTTGAAAATAAAGCTAGGTGTGAATTTTCTTCATTTTTTTTTTTTACTAAAATTAATGATTTAATTTTTATTAGTTGAATATGATGAATGATTAATAGGAAGAAAAAAAAAAATGAATATTAATTGGAAGATAAAAAAATTACAATCATTAATAATAAAATTAATTAGACAAAAAAAAAAAAAATTAATAAGAAAAAATAGTTATAATAAATATTATTAATTAGTTAAAAAGAGAGAAGAGAAAAAGGAAATGAAATAAAAAAGGAAATAAAATTAATTAAACAAAAAAAAAAAAAATATTAATAAGAAAAAATAGTTATAATAGAAAAATAGTTATAATAAATATTATTAATTAGTTAAAAAGAGAGAAGAGAAAAAGGAAATAAAATAAAAAACATTTTATTTTATTTTATTATACTCCCTTTTTTTTTTTCAATCAATTTTATTTCTTATTTTTTTTTTCTTTATTTTTTAAAGTATATTTTTTTAGTGGTAATTGTGTAATGATGAATGGAAATCGTTTCATTTTTCACACACATCGAAATACAATAGTTACTGATTATAATATCATTTGGAATTATTATTTGGTTCCAAAACTTAAATATTTAACATTTTGGAAAATAATTGATATGGTGAAAAAATCACGAACTGAAGAATGTTGGAATTTACATTTGACATTTTATAAATTTTGTACCACTTGTTCCACTCTCGAAATGATCACACAATTATTATATTATTCTTCTGATACTGCATAATTTACCTCTCTCTCTCTCTCTCTCTTTGTTTGATTTTAATTCGAAAATTTTGATTGTTAATTAAAATTATGATAATTATTACCATATGCAAATTATACATAATTTTCTTCCTTCTATTAGAATTCCAAAAGTTTTAATTATTAATTTATCTGTGGTAATTGTTACAATATGCAAATTATACATAATTTCCCTCTCTTCCTTTCTCTCCCTCTCCCTCTCCCTCTCTCTCTCTCTCTCTTTGCAATGTGCAAACTTAATAGAAATAACTATTGAAAAATTTTTTTATGCTGTGGAACTTTAGTCTAACATTAATTAGCTACTATATCATTTCATTTAATTAATCTCATTTTTTCCATCAAATATTTAATGTGTATATATTAATGAAATATAAATAAAGAAGAAAAAATTAATATAAAATAAAGTTTAAGCAATAAAAAAATATAAAATTATTTTAAAAAAATAGTAATAAATTAAAAATCAAAAAAATACATAGAACATATTTAAATTTAATTAATATTATGCTAAAAAATTTAGACAATAATTATTCAATAAATGATTTCAACGTTTATTATTATTCCAAGAATATTAAAAAAAAATATATGCATTTAAAAAAATTATTTAAAAAAAAGTATAAAAGAAATTTTAAAATATTATTGCATTAATTCGGTTTCAATCAATGATTATTTTTTTTTTTTATTTTCATATTTTTTTTTTCAAGAAATTTTCTTTTATTTTGTTTGTTTGTTTGTTTGTTTGTTTTTTTAGAAAATTTTTATTTTTGATTCATTTTAATAAAATTAATACATGAAATGGAATTACTTTGAAATAAATTCTGTTTGTAACATTTACAACCATTGTGACTTTCAATATGATAAAATACTTTTGGATGTAACAAAGTAATATTTTGTAATTCGATCATTCCAATATGATAGATTAATGGTTTCGTTGTAATTTGTTCAAAAATTAATTTATCTTTTCGCATACATTGCTAGAAATAAAACTTTTTTATTTAATTAAATTATTTTTTTATTTTTCTTTCATCAATAATTATTAATTCCTATCATTTAGATGAATAATTTAACTTCATTAATATAATTAATAAATTATATTAATGATTAATAATATTAATGAAGTAGAATTTTAAACATATCTTGAAAGAGGTATAAATGAATTACATAAATTTTAACAGAAGTAGCTTTAAAAATTAAAATTAATTCTATTATGATAAATTTATTATCTTATAAGCTAATTAAGTATTTTTAGTTAATTATTATTATTTTAGAAGAGAGAGAAAAATTTTTTAAAATTTTATTTATAGCTAATATAATTTGCACTCATTTATATGTGATTAAAAAAATTTTTTTTGCTTATTTTTTTATTTTTTTATTTTTTTTGTTATGTGATTTAAAAAAAAAATTCTTGTTTTATTTAAAATTTTTATACTTATAATAAGGTAAATTTTGATTTAAAAAATTTGATATGAAATTAGAAAATTAAAAAATGTACCTTATGAAAAATACCACCATCACAATGATGATCAATTGTAATGTATAACTTTGATGCATCAATATTTTTCATTTGAAACAAAAATTCATCCCAATGATTTGCCAAAGTACCATCATCTTTAAGTCCAGCTGTAAATAATTTTAAATTAATTGTGCAAAAAAAAAAAAAAAAAGAGAAAAAAAGAAAGAAAATTTCTAAAATATTATAAACTTAATGTATTTTCTTCCAAAAAATAAATTAATCTTTTAGATTTTTTTTTGAGCTTAATTTAAGCTAACAACTTTAAATATATTATAAAATATGTAAACAAAATTCAAATAATAATAATAATTTAATTAAATTATCAAATAAATGATGCAATGTAATTTTTTATTATTTTAGAATAAACAAAAACAAAAAAATTATTTAATATGCACTTGCATCATAAAGTTTTAATCGTGCACCTAGCACAGGTATACCACCACATGCTAATAATCCATGAATTCGCACTGTCTCACTAATTGACATTTTGGTAATTGCAAATAATTGAAGAATCTTTAATTAAATAAACTTAAAATGTCCCATTCATAAATATTAATTAAAAGTGCTAGTATTTTTGATATTATTTATTAATTTATCAGTGATAACATTTTATGAGTTTTCATATGAATCAAATTGTTTTCTATAATTAGTAATTCTGAAATTAATAAACCTGAAGAATTTGAAGCGTACAACCGCTTAGTTGCATTTCAAAACGAATCGATGAATAATTTCCTTTTTCTCTTTCCTTCCTTCTCTTTGAATTGATATGATATGAAATTCAGATCTAATCAATGTATCGATCATTTCTTCTTTTTAAACTTATGAACGGTATTTTACTTGTAAATGCATTATTTACTATACATTTTATATCATTTAATGAGCATAAAATCCAGTATTTTTAAAATTTCTCATAGTATCACTAATTAATTAAAATATTCCATAAAATCAATAAATCTGTACGTTTTTAAGCGTTTGGTATAAATTGCGAAGAAAAAAAAATCTGAATGATAATACAAGCGGTACAAAACATCTCATAAAATCCTCCTATAACCTGAGATAACATTGTTTTTAAATTATAGAGAGTAAAAAATTATAATTCTCAGAGAGAGAGAGAGAGAGAGAGAGAGAGAGAGACGAAGAGAGGGAGCTAAACAAGTTTAAGGAGAATTAAAGACGAAAAAACAAGTGACAGGATAAGGTAGAAGGAAAGAAGCAAATAATTGAAAACAAAAAGGTAGCAATGTATGTTACTCACAGTAACTAGACAGCCTATCCTTTATAAATCTACACCAAAAAGAGTTAAACAATAAAAGTACAAATTAGAAGGTAAAGTTATATCTAAGAATGAAAGCGATAAAATCATTCTTTACAAGTTCTTCCGCTACGTGATGTTTTTGGAGTTTCGCTAGCTTCTCGTGAAGCATTGTCAGATGTTTTCTCTTTACCAGGCTCTTCCGAATTTATAGGAGTGACACGTGGGCTTGAAAATCTTGAACGTTCAAATTTAGCCTGCAAATCCAAACAGTATTAATTTAGAAATGTAATATTTCATAAATTTCCAATATGAATCAACCTTAAAAACAATCAGACTTATAAAATTATGAATGAATCGATAAAAAACATAAATATATATTGAGAATAATAAATTTTAATTTCTTTTTTTTTTTTTTTTTTTAACCAAAATTATAGAATTACAAAAAATGTAAATAATGAAATGCAAACCTCTTCTGCTGCAAATGCAGCACTCCTTCGAGTCATATGTGTTGTACCTCGAACAAATAATACATCTTTTTGCAGCATCTGTAAAAGAAAAAAAGAAAATTAAAACATTTAAATATTACAATACTATATTAGAAAAGTATAAAGAGCAGAAAAATTTTATTTTATTGGAAACTCCTCAAAGCACAAAAGCAAAATTTCATATAACTCTAATTAATAAGATTAACATTTCATAAGCAAAGGAAAAAAAAAAGAAACTGAAATACCTTCAGTGAGCTCAACGTATCAACAGCCATTTCTTTTGCATAATGATTTACATCATGACCTGTACTATTGAACATTACTGCATTTGCAAACATTAGTAGTACATTCCGCTTAAAATCACTCATTCCTGACAGATTACCACCATCTAGCTGCTTCTTTAACGTGCTCAAATCCATACGACTGGAACCTTTCCTTTTAGAAAAATGTTTTCAAAATTCAAAATTTATAATTATGAATGATAACTCCTATACCCAAACAGCGAATAAATTAGAAGAAATTTTGAAAATTTACTGATTAACATTTGAAATCGACTCAAATTACTTTCACTTTTAACAATTATCCTATTAGCATCACTGTTGTGATAACGATTAGCATAGCTCAACGATTAATATGAGTGAACAAATAGAAGCTGTTTATTAAATAAAGCGATGTTAAGATTTGAGATTTTTTAAAATTTCAACAAATGCAAATACTTCTTGCGACGTAAAATACACAACCAATAGATTATTATTACTTCATCGGAGCGAATAAAAGTACCTTTTAACGGTTTTTGAGTAACCTCGAGCATCTCGATCAGATACAGGATGGGCAAAAATAGCAGCATGTCGATGACTGGAAACCATTCGCCATGCAGTAACCATAAGAGCTTTCTGTTCTACATCACCATCAGTTGAACCACGCTTAAACAAATTAAATTATTCATCAATAATATGAATAAATGTAAATAATGTGTAATAGGATTTATCGGTAATGATTATGCTCAAATCAGGTAATTGCGGTAAATCCGACGTTAATGATTATGTTCAAAAGCAAATAATTACGATAAATTCGATAGAAAAATAGTTGCAAATGATGTAATAGAGCATAAAGGTATGATATATATTAACTGAACTGTCACAATCATCATTCTATACATTGTTCCATTATTTCAAAAAAGAACCAACAGTCCAATATCCAGGAAATAATGTAAATTTTGATTAAAAATGAATTAAAATTTAGTAAATCAAACACCATTATTTCTCTCCAGATTGGATTCCAGTAAAAATTACATTTAAAATTAATTCCACAAATAATCTCAGTACAGTTTTAGTAAAATCCCGATTATCGATTCAAATTACTCCTGTGTACAAATAGTTCATTATTAGTAATTACTAATCATCGAAAAAAAAAAAAAAAAGAAATAAAGTATATTTTGAATTACATATTAAATCATATCTCAAGACCATGAAAACCATACTCTTCTTGTTTGTCGACGACTTGAACGTGTTACAACTGCACTTCTTTTTGGCGATCTAACTGAAGAAGTTTCTGAAGATGTTCCTAAAAGTAACGAAAATCTTCGGCATAGCACTTTATATGATAAATTCTGATATGAAATAACGAAGAAAAATAAAACATGCTTTAATATGCAATCGTTTTTATGAGGACTTCAATATTTTCAACAATTTGAATAGATATTTTGAGAAGAAAAGTCATCAATAATGAAATTTAAACACTACCTGATTTCAATTTCTCACCAGTAGAAACAACTACTTTTGATGTTCGACTTCTTGTGCGTAAATCGACAAGTTTTTTATCATCATCTGATTCACCCTCCACAGCATGTTTCACCTTACAATATATTAATTTAGAATATGAGAAAAATTGCAAAGAACCAAGAAAAAAAGGAAAAGCACGCATAAATAATACATATAACTCTGATGAAACACAAATCAATTAATAAAACTTGTTTTAATTAAAAAAAAAAAAAAAAAAGAGAAGATACTATCAGCCAAGAAAGCCATTTAACAGTTGGCTGTAAAAAACAAAGAATGACTGTAACTTAATAGGAAGATAAAAAAATTACACCAATACGGACTTCTTTTTCAGGTTCTGGACTTGATTGCAACTCAATGTTGCTTTCGACTCGATATTTAACATCCTTTTTCTCAGCATTTTCAACATCTTTGCTGGACAATCGCCTAAAACTTATAGTGTTCAAAGGATTGCATTCCTCCTATTACATATCCAACAACAATAAATCATGTTTATTTTTGATAATTGAAACAAATAATATATGCTAAAAATTATTTCATACCGTCGTTTAGCAGGTGATGCCTTCACTTCTTCCTCATTATTACCAACAATTTCCAACTTTGCTGTTCGCTTTCGTCTTCCTGTTTGTGCAGGTACTACACATGCACTAGCTTCTATTTCAACCTTTGCCTGACATCTTTCTGATCGTCTAGAAATATTCTCATCAAAGCTGGTTATCATTTAAGTTGAATTTGCAGGAGTCTATTAAACATAGAATTTATATCCATCTAATAGTCGCCTAATTTATATCTATCTAATGATCTGTTTTCGTTTTCTTAACCTGATATAAGATTCACGTAAGCCAACCTAAAATTTCATCAAAAAAACCACAACTGCGATCAATGTGAGTTGGCTTACAATCATTTAATACTATTAAATCTTCAACATACCGTAATTTTCCTTCATCCTCTTCCTCCACAACATTTTTCTCCTCTTTGCTCATAAAATCGGATGTTTTTGGACTTTTCATGGAAATGGAGGAAGCAGCAGAAAAACGACGATTTCCTAGAAATAAGTATACAAAAATTTATTCCCAATACAAAAAAGTCTGAGAGAGAACGAAAAATATTTTTTTTAAAAAAAACCAACATTCAGAGATTCTGAAAAAAAAAAAATAACTGAAGAAAAAAAAATACATATATACATATAATATATATATATATATATATATAAAAGAAAAAATATATATATATGCATATACTTAAGGAATGTTCATGATGCACTGGTAATGCTATTTCACTATCCATGTTACTTGAGCTACCCGATGACCGCGTAACAATTTTTTGAGTCCGTCTTGTTTTCACCTAAAAAAAAAATATTTAATCGATATTTTTCCCTTAACCTCCGGAAGAACAATATTTAAATTGCATGAAACAATTTAACTTCATAATTCAATGAGTGGCATAATCTAAGACTATTAAGATAATGAATATCACACTAAGTTTAAAGAAAAAGTGATACCGTTTCTTTCTTTTCAACTATCTCTTCTACCGTTGAGCTCATTCCTTCCTCCATTTCATTTTCGGTGGTAACACAAGGTAATTTAGCCTTTAAAAAAAGCGAATTATAAAACATCATTATAAGACACAACTAAATAAGTAAAAACATTCGGTAATTCAAAAACACTAATGCTATGGATGGTTTTAAAAAAAGGAGCAGAGAAAATCAAATAACCATAACATCCGAAAGAATCTGACGCAGCATCTAATTAAAATAAAAAAAGACCTCATCTGGTGTCCCTGATGTAGCAGCCTGAATTTCGTCAGTATTACTTCTCGAGGGTGACTTAAGGATCAACTCACTTGATACTGACTGTGATGTAAAGCTTTCGGAGTTTTCTATTGCTTCTAAATATAATATAAGTTTTCTGTTCTAAATTTCAAATTGTTAAAAAATCAATGACATACTTTACTTTTCCTAGAAACTAACTAAAGAGGAAAAGTAGTACGGTAGAGGCATAAGAAGATTTAATTTTTTTTTTCAGTTCGCCCTAGTTTACTTCTTCACTTTCCTTGATAAAAAAAATGCCATTGCACTTGTCCTTGTTAAATATTTCTATATTCTTCTTAAACGGTATTTAAAATAAATCTTTGAGAATTTCTTTGAAATATATAAAATTTTAATTAGGCTTAAAAAGAACTGAAAATATACCGGTTTGACAGGATGATGCATTATTTCCAGTCAGTGATTGTGGTCGTGAGCTAACTGATTGTGTTCGTAATCTTCCTTGAGTAGATGATAATATTTCGGCACCATCTGAAGATTCGCTAGCCAACATTTCCGAAGCACTTGGATGCTGTGGACTGCTGATCTTCCTGCATAAGGGAGATCCAGAAGTGGTATTTACAACAGACGATGCTTTTGTCTGTGAAGTTATCTTTGGTTGGAAGGAAAGGCCTTCGAAAAGAGGCTTAATTGGAGAAAATGGTGCCTCATTGGCGGACGATTGGGATGGATGAGACGGTGGTATGATGATCTTCAACTGTGGATATTTAATTGGCTGAAATCTCATACAATTTTCACTTTAACGAAAGAACCACTGAACCATTATTCCCAAGCACTTTAACTGAATAGTTGGGTACAATAAAATGCAACTTACATTTGTTTCGTGAAGGATTAGATATTCTTTTAAATTTTTTGTACCAATTTCAATTTCCTTTTGAACGACTTCTTGATCACGCTAAAACAAAACTACTACGAGTTATAGGATTTTTTAAGAGTTTCAAAGCAAAAAACAAATCCAATTTATACAATACAATCCCAAGTAGTATTTTCAATGTAAAATTCCATTTGACATAGATAAATCCCCCCTTTCTCTTCTTTGCTATACTTTAGAAACTGTTGGAAAACATACGAGCCACTATTACAAAGAATGAAATCCTAAGCAAAGAACTGAGGAATTGTTTATCCTAAATAAACAGGACTCATGCATACCATTAATAACAAATACATACCGTACTATCTTCTTCGCGAGCTTCCTCCAATAATTTTTCTACTTCTTTATCTGTTAAATCACTATCAGATGAGAATAAACGATTAAAAAGATCTGCTTTCTGACGTAATTTCACCAAAAGTAGCTCTTCCTCTTGTGCTTTCTTGATTTTTAACTGCAATGCTAATGTAACATATCGGAAAGTTCAAGAATTGTTGGAATAAACAAGTACCACGCTTCCCGTAACAAGAATTATCTAAAGAAACATATTTAAACTAATATAATACTTTGCGATATTAGGTTCGGTCATTTCTTCTCGTCCTTCTTTCGGTTAAATCTAATATGTAAGTCCATGGATAAGCAAGAGACGATTTTTGAACTTTGGAGGTTTTTTGAGGGAAATCAGGATGACTATATTAAATAATAACAAATTTACATATTTATTTAAAGGATTAGAAGATATTGTAAAAGATAAAAGAAATTGTAAAAATTTACCTCTTTCTTTAAATAAACCGTCCAAGCATGAATGAGTTCTTTTCGGGAATATTTTTCACCTGGCTTTCGTAGGAAATGCTCTGGATGACCACTTGACATAACTCGTTCAAATTCATCTTTACACATCTGAAAAGTGCGTTACTAATAAAAACGAACGAGAATGAAGCATTTTAAAGCGATACTGAATTCAACGGGAATAAATACTGTTCAATCTAAGCCAAGATTTCATAATCTGCATGACTAGAAATTTTAAACTATGACAGTACTGGGCTAATAGTTATTGAGCTAGATTAAATGATTTGATATATAAAACATTATGATTTCAAATTTGCACAAAAAAAATCAAATATCAATAAAAGAAATCATATCAATAATTGTATATCTCTCTTCCTCTTTCCCCACTCAAAAAAAAAAAAAAATATTGAATGGGAAAAAATAATTTATTTTCTGAAATATTTCACAAAATTCCAACTTTTTCTGTAAAAAAACCAGCCGGTCTTTCATCACCAAAGTTTTCCACAAGTTTCTTGATGCGCACAAGCCTGAAAATGACTTATTATAATACAATAATATATGTAATCACTCTCTCTCTCTTTCCAATTCACGATGTTAGCAACTGATATCATCTTTTCTTTAATGCAGTCCAAAATAATAGCATAAGCTATAATTATGAAATTCTGAATATATAAAATTCAAAGCAGCCAACCAAGGAGACTGTTACCTACTAAAGTAACATATGAATTGAAAAACATGGCTTTTGCATGACCATAATTTTAACTCAATGCTTTTAGTTCACTAATGTGAGTAAATAACAGTCTTTTGGAAACATAAACAACCGTGAAAATCTTGAGAAAGACCATTTTAAGATAGCAACAATCGCATTACATACTTCCTGACAGTCAATCTCTGCTATGAATCGGCGTAAAATTCACGTATATACATCCAGTGTATAATTTATGTGCGTATGTCTAATGTTATACATGATAAAAATTAATTTATAAAAAACATAGCAAGAAATTACCAATCATCTTCCGTCTCCATAAGTTCGAAAAGTTGTAGCGTTTCTTCATGCTTCCAACTGAGTGATATACTTGGATATTTCATCCTTATGTTAAACCTGCAAAATTTTCTCCCAATGTTCTTGAAAGAATGGAAAGAAATAGACAGAGAAAGAGGCACACAAAGAGAGGGTCTACGTGTAATGGCAACTATGTGTAACTCACTTACACGTTTTCAACGGCACAAATTTGTTCAGTTTTTTTCCATCAAAGCAATATTTTATACAGTTCTAGTCAATCTTTGCCATCTTTTTGACTTTCTTCTTCTCACTATTCTAAGCGCCCTTATTAATTCCTATCGTCTCTTCTATTACAGCAACGTTTTTTATTTTACTATTCTAAATTACTGCTGTTAATTCATACAACTTAATGCCTTTCAAATTTCTCGATCTCTAGTAATATACAAGAATTCACAAGAATAACCAATAAAACGACATTTCAGGAAAGCAATGGTCCGTCGTTTGCAAGACATGTTGCATTTTAGCTATGTGCCACGAATAATGAAACGGAATATCTCAAGTCAAATCATTTCTTCATTTCTGCATCGTGAAATTATTAATCCAGGGAATTGTCAACTTTTGAAATTACTTAAGTCTTTGAATTACTGAGTTACCTAAATTTTCCTCGTAACATTTGGCAAAGTATTGCTATAACTCATATATACAGCAAAAATTTACGTACGTAACGTGAAAATCATTTACAAGACAGCTAAGTTAACGGAACATACAATTAAAGCACAAATCGATTGAATTGTTGACGAAAAAAAGCTAAAAAAAAAATTTGCATACTTTCATTAATATCTATAATAAAATATAACCTTTAAATTCTTTTAGTCTAATTTATATTTGTACTGCTATTGGGTGACATTGAATGTTAGTTCTCTAATATATCTTTTATATCAGTATTATCAATGAAAATAATCTTAAATTCATCACTTTTTCTACCCATTATCGCTTAACAATCACTAAAATCAGTTTTTACACTCATTACTTAGGTAATATACTATGAATTAATTACACGTATTATATCAGTAATGTCAGTTGAAGTATTATCAGTCTTCCCATCCAGTTATTAGTATCAGTCTTATCTGATAATATCACTCTTCTTAATCAATTATCAGTTTTGTTACTTATCCTTATGTGATAATACTATGAATTAATTATATGTTTCAAAGAAGAAAATGGCATGAAATTATGAGTAACGAGTAAATATTAAGTAATAAATGAGAATGTGTGATAGTAGTATAGCAGAAATGAAATTAAATATTGATTTTTTTTTTTTTTTTTTTTTTTTGTAGTTTTATGAATGATAATAATTCTGATAACATTTTAATTTTTAACTCTATAAAATAATAAAAATAAACATGAACACAATTCATGTTTATTTTTATAAAATGTTTAATTTCTTTTTAATTTTTAAATAGACATTCAAAATTTAGTTTTTAAATTGGATTAGGATCTCCATTTTTTTAGCGTGCCAATAAATTAATCAAAATTTAATAATTCGATAATAAAGTTTTGTTTTGTTTTGTTTTTTTTTTTTTTTTAAATATTGCCTGGCATTGGATTTTTCTTTAGAATATGCGTATGGAAAGTCCTCTTTTTAAGTAAACATACTGATTTCGTTTTTTTTTTTTCTTTTAGTAGTTTCCTTTTTAGTAAAAAACCTCATTTTTTTTCCCCTCCAATGTGCAATTAAATTTTTTTTAAACTTACATTTTTTTTTTTTTTTTGATCAAATAAATTGATGCATTTAATTATTCCATTTAAATACATACATACGTCCAATAGTAATAGTAATAATTAACTGTAACAATAATAATAACAACAATAGCAATAATAATGATAAATAATAATAAGGATAGCAGTAATAACGATTAATAATAATAACACTAATAGCAACAATAATGATTAATAATAATAGTAACAACTATAATAATAGCGATAGTAATGATAATAATCAGTGATAATAGTGGCGATAATAATTAATAATAGTAGATGATAATGATAATAACAACGGTAATGATAATGATAATAGGAATAATATATTAAAGCAAATGATAATTTCTTCGATAGATTGATTATGGGTGATAAATATGAACTAATTGACCAAAATGATCCTAACCAGTTGATACCAGCAGCACCAAATGCTCCACCAGGATCACCATCTGCTGATACAACACCATTACCAGATCCAGAAGCTGAACTATTAAAGAGTGCTGCTACCGATCTTTATACCAAAAAAATGGAATCTGGAAGTATGCTTAATTTTTTCTCCTCTCTATTAATACTTTACTGTTTTAATGTTATTTCATGACAATGAAAAAAAAAAAAATTGTCAAAAAAAATGAATGGTTTACTGATAACATACCATTTAGTCTAACATTTTAAATATTTACATTGTTTACAAAAATAAACAAAAAATAAAAACGAAACTTACATATGACATAATACAATTATGGCCAGTTTTTATTCTTTCGTAAAGTTTTTATAAGCATATTGAAATTCAAAAAAGAAAAATTATTAAAAAAAGAAAACCAATTTTTCTAACTTATTATTATTATTACTAATATTATTAGTTGCATTTAAGACGAATTATAAATTTCAGATAAAAAACCAAAAGAGATGACAAAAAAATTAATTATAGTATATGTTGGTGCTATAATGTTAAATATTATTGTATTTTGTATTGGTATAGCTATTGGCTACTATGCTTTATAAAAATATAAACAACTTTTGCATAGGTTAATTGTTGAATTTCATATTTGTTTTCGAATAAATTTAATAGAAAAATTTAATTTTTTATAATATAATTTTAATTTTTTTAATATAATTTTTTATTTTTTTTTTTTGGAAAGAAAAAAATTATTTTAAAATTCAAAAAATTTCATTAAATTAACCAACAATGGCAATAAAAGATTACGAAAAAATCTTTTCCTTTTTTTTTTTCCTTTAAACTAAATCAGTAAATGAAGTATTATGATAGAATTTTAGGCGAAAATTTTTGATCTTATATCAATTTTTATGATTAATTCTATTTTTTCCTCTCTTTTTCTCTTTTTCTTTTTTTTTTTTTTTTTTGTTTGTTTGTTTATTTATCCTTTTCAATGAAAAATAAGTTTTTTTTTTTTAGTTTTTGTACAAATTAGAATATAAGAAATATTGGCAAAAACAAGAAAAACGAACAATGAATATTTCCTCTAATCATATCAAACTTATCAGTGAAATGTATGCATATTTTTATCGATATATTGGTGAAGGATTTTTATAGAAATATAATATGTAGTAATAATTTTATCATTGATAATATTTATCATTAATGGTAATGATTTTATCATTAATAATATTTATCAATGATAATTAAATCAACCTATATGTTTTGAAATGACAATGAAAAGTAATTAAATTTTATCACTAACAAATATTCTACTTACATTAAAATTTAATTGAAATAACAGAACTAATAATGTATCACTTAAATATAACTTAAAATATAAGCAAAAAGAATGAAATTGAAAAATGATATGTAAATAAATGAATGAGTATAAAGTTATTAATGAATGAGATAAATTAATTGATCCTCGAAAATAATAATTTAAAAATTAAACTAAGCTAAGCTGAAAAAAAAAATCACTTCTATTAAATGTTGATACTATTTTTGATCAAAGTTTAAGTAAGTGAAATGAACGTTTTAGTCAATAATTGATTTAATATTTCGTGTAATCATTTGTAAAATTAAGAATTAAAGTAATTAAAGTATTATCAATTAAGCAATATATTGAAGCAGAAGAAAGTAAATGATAAATAATAAATGCAAGTTTGATATGAATTTTATGATATTTGTTAAATTACAATCAGCTTTATGGGATTTTTGATAATGCTAATACTCATATTCACTTATAAATAATGTCACATTAATGTCACATTGAATAAGGAAAAAGAAAATGTTGGAAAGATTTTAATATTCCAATATTATAATTTAAAAAAATAAAAGGACAAAAGGCTCCAAATTTTATAATTTTTTAAGCTAATTAATTAATTCAGAAATGAAATTTTATAGACTAAAAATTTTGTAATAATACTTATGCATTTGATCATTTTGTATTCTCAAAATAATAAACAAAATGAAAACATACGATTAGATTATGGTTTAAAAACAAGTATGTTTTAATTAAATTAAATATTTACTCTCAGCAAATTATGTTAGCAATGTTTTTTTGACATCGCTAAAATATTTTGTAGTGACGAATTCAAACTTGGGTCAATTGATTTAATCATAAGGAAACTTGATTTAATATTTATTTCCTGATTAAAATGAAATTCATAATTTTTCATTTATTGATATGATTAATTTAATAGTGTTTACGATGCTTAATTATTAATGACACATAATTTAGAATATTTTAAAATAATACTTAGAAAATGAAATTCTTAATTCTATTAATAAAATTTGTTATTTTTTCCCCAAATTGTTAATTAATTTTCTTAATTACCGTTAAGTAATTTAATGCTTTTATCAATTGAAATTTGTTATTTTTCGATAAATGCTTATGTGGAAATTATTGTTAATTAATTAGTAACCGACTTAATTAAAACTTCTAAAAATGAAATAATAATAATTTAAAATAAAATTTAACTTGAAATGATTAAGCTGGAATAATCTAAGTTCCAAAAAAAAAAAGTGGATTTGGCCAAAATATTATTGCTTGGCCTAGGATTGTTCAAGTAATGAATGAAATAATGAGAATTTAGTATAAAAATTCAACTTGGAATGATTAATTAAATAATCCAAAAAATGAAATTCAAAAAAAAAAAAGGAAAAAAAAAATTAAATTTGATCAAAATATTATTGCTTTGCCTTAGAAACATTGAAATATAATAAATGAATTAATTATATATCAGCCTGAAATCATTTTATTTATTTATTTTATTTTTTAAATTTAATTCTTCTTTATTTGTTGACCATGAATATTTTTAGCACCGTCTCGCAGCAATTCAATTTCATCCTTTGCGCCAACATTTACTTTTGGCGCTGTTATCTAAGCAAAAAAAAAAAAAAAATTTTTTTTCGCTATTAAAACAAAAACATTTGAAAATAAAAATTTTTTTTTTAAAATTTTTTTTTCAAAGTCTTTAAATTAAAAATAACAACAAGAAATATATGTAATGAATTATTTTTATGACAAAAAATGTAGCAAATTAAGAATGACTTTTTTTAATGAAAATTCAAAAAAAAAAGTTTTTTTGAATTTTAAATTTATAATTTTTAATTTCTTAGTTTCTATTAAACATATTTTGGGAGAATAAAAAACAATCAAATGATTCCCTTTTTTTTTTAAAGAAATATTTTATATTTTATAATATGTTATTAACAAAATAAATATATCCTTAACCGATGCTTATTTATGGTACCAAACAAAATTTCAATGACTTTATTTAGCGAATTTAAAAAAAAAAAAGTAAAAAATAAAACATAATGGTATTGAATGGATAATCTATTACTAATTGAATTTTGTTTTTAAAAGAAATAAAAATAGTATTGAGGAGAAAATCTATTACTAATTAAATTTTATTTTTAAAAAAAAAATAAGAATAGTAAAGCAAATTAACCACTACCTAAACAAATGATTTAAAATTATTATAAAATTCATTTATTTATTTAATGTTATTATAAAATTCATTTATTATTTAAAATTGTTATAAAATTCATTTGTTTTTTTTTTTTTTTTTTGTTTTTTGATGAATAACCACTCTTTATAATTTGTCAAATGCAAATTAATTCATTAAAATATTGCTAACATTCTATCAAAATATATTAATTAATAAAATAATTAATATTAAATATAGTTTTTCTCTTTTTTTAGTATACTATAAAATAAAAACTTTCTCAATAATTATTAAAAAAATTTTTTTTAATGAAATTAAATTAAATTAAATACCGATGAAGGTGATGGTGGTGGACATGTTGGTAATTGATTTTCTACTTTATCTTCTGCAATTATTTTTACATGAGCTTGATGGCTACTACCATGCGACAAAATTCCTTTCTTCTGCGACATTCTATAAAATTTATTTTTTATTATTTTATTATTCTAAAAAAATTTTTTGCATTATTAAATTTTACGTGAATTATATTTTTTCTACACTGTTTTTTCAATCTATCATATATTTTACTTTTTTTTTTTTTCAAATTTTAACAAATTTAGTGATTTAACTTAACTAGCAAATAGACTTAAATATTAATTAGGTAACTAACTGGTATTAAGTAATTAATTATTAAATAAATAATTATAGTTAATTAGATAGCTAATTAATTAGATAACTTAAAAAAGAAGCAATTAGATAACTTAAATAGTAGCAATTAGTTTAAGTAATAAATTATATTAGATTCAAATTAACTTTATTAGTAAGTTTGTTTTGAAAATTTTTAGTACATTTTAGCATAATATTAAGTAATTTATTTGCATCTACTTTAATTTTAATTTTTCAACTATTTTCAACTCATTCAATACTTATCAATTTACTCTTTTTATTTGAACCTTATATGTTTACCATCCTCAAATTCACAAATTAATAAATTAAAAAAAAGAACGAACGAAATATTTGAATTAAATTTTAATATAATCGTTGAATGATCAGGTTAAAGGCAACAAATATTAATAAAATTAATTAAATTAACTTTATTTATGGCATTAATAAATTTTTGAGAAAGTAGAAAATGAAACCTATCAGTCTGTTATACTTTTATGCAAAATGATTTAATACTAATTTCATTTGCTAAAAAAATAATTTTGATATGCAAAATAATTTCTTTTTTCCTCTCTCTCTCTCTCTCTCTCTCTTTCCCTCTCTTTCACATTAGTCAATAAAATATAAAATTAAAATTAAATTTTCATTTCTAATACGATAACTATTTAAAATGGATAATATTAATTATTTAAGTATATTTACAAATTTCATTCATAGAATACGGTGACATTAAGTATATTTCATTAATGTATCATTGTAAGGAGAGAAGACGATCTGAATCAGATTCAGTAAGACGAAAGTATGATTATAATTATCATTATTATCAATTATGTTATCATTAATTCATTTTATCATTAATTAAACTTTGATTAATTACATTATTATCATTGAGTATTGATTATCATTATCAGTAGTTACTACTTTTTTATGTTCATTTATTTTCCACAATTACATAAATAAATGATTTTTTTTATGATAAAAAAACAAAGACGATTTACTGATAACATTCGTATCATTTATCAATTATGCTAATAAAAGCAATGAAAATATTAGCTAATCTAATTTAGTGGTTATGAGCCAATAGCGCAATTTGATAGTTCACAAATACCGCCAGATTATTTGGTACATGAAGCACATGATGGACGATTGGTATGATAAAATTTTTAATTTATTTTAAAATTATTTCAAATAAAACAATCAAATATTGATAAAAATTAACAAATGCATTTTAAATTTTCAAAATAATTTATTTAAATTGTTTTAATTTAATTTTTATTTTTTTTTTACGATTCATTTTTGATTTATTTTTTCATTCCTTTCTTCGTTTTTTACTCTAATTTTTTCTTATGGATTTTTTGCGTTAATAATATTCAAATTTTAAATTTAATTAATTATAATCGAAATATCAATTTTAGCGATAAACAAATTATTATTCATCTTCATTATCTGTAATTAAAATTTTTTAATTTCACTTTTTTATTTACAGATAAGTGATAGTTATGAAATTGAATGGCCAAAGCGCCCACAATTTGGTCAATATGCGGAAGAAAGCAGTGTAGCAAAAAATTTAATTAGCAAATTATTAAAAATTTAATTAGCAAATTATTAACAAATTATTTATACAATTTTTTAACAATTTTTTTTTTTTTTTTATAATTACCAAATTAATTTTTTATGGTTCTCTTAGGTTAATAATATTAAAATTTTTAATTTAATTTAATTAATCACAATTGAAATATCAATTTTAGTAGTAATCAAATTATTATTCATTTTCATTACCTGTAATTAAAAATTACTAAATGCAAATTTTTATAGTAGATAAAAAATGTTTCATGCTTTAAAATATTGAATAAAATAACTTTTTATAACTTTTTTTTTGTTTTTTGAAAATTATTTAACAATTTAATTACACTTTAAAAAAAAAAATACATTTTAAGTTAAAAAATTTTTACAGGAAAAGCTTTCATCACCGTATATTAAACAAACTAATAAGTATGATTATGGATCAAATGAAACGACAGCATACAGGTATGTTAATTAATTAAATTAATTAGTAACAAAAGAATAGATAAATGACAATTTTATAAAATTAGCAATAAATATTAATAAATGATTACTTCTAATTCTAATAAACAATAATAAATATTCAATTATTAAGTTAATAAGTATTATATTATTATTTTTCTTTTCTTTATGCATTAAATATCCAATAAACATTGATTACTAACTATTGTATTATTATTTTTTCATATATTAAATAACAATTAATGAATTTAAATTAAAGTACAAAGAAAAAAAAATCAAACAAAAGAAAAAAAAAGAAAGGAAATGTAATAAATATTTGATTGAAATAATATTTACAATTATATTAATTAATTACTTAATTAATTAATTAGTATAAGTTTTTTTTTTTTTTTTGTCGAGGAACAAAGGACATCATCGAAAGACAAAAGGTCATATGCATAATTATTCAATTGAAAAGGTCAGATATGAAATTTAATTTTTGTCATTTTTAAAAATTTAAATTTGAAACAATCAAAAATGTTGGATAAATTAGCATATATATTCATATAAGTATGATTTATTACTTCGATTAATGCACTTTTTTTAAACATCTTATTTTAGAATGAAACTGTTTTTTTTTTTTTTTTAAATTTATTAATTTATGTTTTTTTTTTTTTGTTAATAAATTATTTTAAAAGGAAATAATAATCGTAGTAATTAATTTAATAAATATATTTTTTTAATCATTTATTATTAGACAACGATTAATGAAGCAAAAAATGATGATGATGATAATCATTTTTTTGTTGGTAAGTAAATTTTTTTTTTGAAGTTTAATAAAATTTTTTTGTAATAAAAATAAAAAAAAAAATTTTTTTTTTGTAATAAAATAAAAATACAATGTTTACATCTCTTTTTTTTTTTTTTTTTTTTGAAATTATTTAAAATCTATTTATTATAAATAAACATTAAATATGATAATTTTTTATTTAAATTATTACTTTATTCTCTATTAATTAATTATTAAAAAAAATATATTTATATTAAAATTTCATTATTTCAATCGATAGTCTTAAGAGTTCATTCAAATTATATACAAAGAATTTATCAAAATCTTTGTTACTTATGTTTTTTCTCAATTATTTTTAAAATTCTTTCTTAAAATATCCTAAAATAATTTACTAATTAAAATAATCTACCAATTAGCAATTAATGTTTTTCAAAAAATCATCGTTTTTCCATTAATGATTAAATAATTTGCATTTAAAATTTTTGAAAAACAAAAAAAGAAAATAGCATAAAATTCTTTCTTAAAATATTCTACTAATTAACAATTTTATGTTTTTTAAATTTTATCAATTTTGTTTTGGCAATTTTATTTTTTTTTTTAAAATAATTGTTTATGAAAAAAATAAATGAAATAAAATATTAATTTATTATTTATTTTTTTTTAGCATTCTCACCATTTCTTCACTAATTGATTATTAGCTTAGATTATATTATTTTCCAAACTTCTTTAATTCTAAATTCACATGAAATTCATTAGAATTGAAAAAAAAAAAAGGAAAAAAAATTCCGATAAAATACTTTTTGTTTTTTTTCATTTAGTTAATTATATTTAAATTTATCTCAAAAATTATTATACTTAAATTTTTAGCTTTATTTTTATATTTATTTCTTAAAAAAAAAAATATTTTAATATTTAGTTTTTTTTAATAAGGTTTGATAAACAAAAAAGAAAACTAATTAAATTTAAATTCAAAATTAAAAATTTTATTTGTTAATCAGTGAGCAATAATAAATTTTTGTAATAATAGCATCAAATGAAGAAGTTTTTTTTAATTAAATTTATAATAAATAATTTAATTTAAATTTCTCTACTACAAGCTAATTTTTTAGTCCTAATTAAAATACGCAAAATTAAGACCTGAAATTAAAACCTTTTAATCTAAAATCAGAAATTAATTGAGGTGCACAAACAATTCATACAGTATCAAAATTACTTCGACAAAATGATTTTCGTCTTTATTATCAAATTCCATCCTCAAAACAAAATGCAATTCCAATTCATATACCACTTTGTTTAGCATATATGAGCACTGCTGGCAAGGTAATTAATTAATTAATTAAATAATTAATTACTATTTTCTGTTGTAAAAAATTTTAATTAGTGATAATAAAAAAATTAAATTTAAAACTAAATTAAATTTTGCTAATTCAAAATATTATTGTGAAAATAATTTCAAATAGAATTCCAAAATTTAAAAAAAATGACAACTAACTGAATTTTAAACTAGCAATTGAAAACTTAAATTATAAAAAATTAAAAAAAAAATAATAAATTTTAGATCATTCATTATTAAAAATAATTTCAAATAGAATTCTAAGATAAAAAAATCAAAAAAAAAAAAAATATTTAATAAAATATTTTTCATTCTTTTCTAAACTAAACAAATAAATTTTAGAAATTTCATTATTAAAAATAATCTTTAATAGAATTATAAAATTAAAAAAAAAAAAAAAAAAAGAGAGAGAAACAATAAATTTAATTTTTTTTTTTTATCTTTTCTAAACTAGACGAATAAATTTCTAAATTTATCATTATTGAAAATAATTTTAAATACAATTATATGCAAAAAAAGAAAATTGATAATCAATAAAATTTAATTCTTTCATTATCGAAAATATTTTTAAAATTAGAAATGAAAACAAATTAAATATTTTTCATTCTTTTTCTAAATTTTAAATAAATAAATTTTGATAGATTTATCATTTTCCAATTGCTTGTACAATTGATGATAACACTGGTAGAAAGTCTTGGCGTGTATTATACGGTGACTCGAGACCATCAACATTTGCAACCTTATCAGCTTTAGTAAAATATCATAAAATTTATTCATATATGGATCCAAAAACAGGTGCCATTGATACATTTCCGGTTTGGAAAGGTGCTATAATTGATTTTGATGATGCTGATTAAAATGATAATAATTGATATGATATGATAAATATTGATTAAATAAATATTAAAAAAAAAAATGATAATAAGTAATAGATATGACAAATATTGATTAATTAGATATTAAAAACAGTGATAAAAAATAATATATGTGATAAATATTGATTAAATAAATACTAGAAATAATGATAATAATTAATATGATATGATAAATATTGATTAAATAAATACTAGAAATAATGATAATAATTAATATGATATGATAAATATTGATTAAATAAATACTAGAAATAATGATAATAATTAATATGATATGATAAATATTGATTAAATAAATATTAAACAATTTAAAACAAGAAAAAAAAAAAGTTTTAATCAAAATGAAGTGAAATTGTAATAAATAAAAAGTGATGAATAAACCATTTTTATCATTTTTTTTTCCTAATTCAATTATCATTTTTTAACTGATTAAATTCGCTATTTTTACTATTTTTCTTTTTCTTTTTTGTTTAATTGTTTATTTATTTATTTTTTTTAAATAAATGAATAAACAAAAAAAGTTTGGGAAGGTGCTATAAAAACTGATTTTGGTGATTAAAATGATAATGCATATACATCTGTGCTGATAAAAATATGATAAATACTGATTAAATTGATTAATTAATTAAATCATTTTTATCATTATTTTACGAATCGAATTAACATTTTTAACTGAATGCAAATTAAATTTTCAAAAAATTTTACCACAATTTTTTTTTTTACCATTTATAGCAAATTTTTTTTTCTTTCTTACTTTTTCTTTGATTAATTTTTTTGTTCCAAATCAATTTTGAAATAAAAATTTCTCTTTCCCTTTTTTGCTAGTTATTATGAAAAAATAACAATGGCTTTCAAAAAATTAAAAAAAAAAAATGTACAAATGTTTTAATTTGAAAAAAAAAAAAGATAATTCATAATTTAATGCTTTAAAGCTACAAATATTTAAAAGCATTTTTAAATTCTAAATTTAAATTTTAATAAGAAAAAAAAGTTTTAGAAAGACTTTTTTTTTTCACAACTTTTATTAATAGTAAAAATTTTTTGATAATAAATCTAAAGAAAAAAAATCCTTTTTTATTAAAAAATCAAAAAATTTTTCAGTGTTATTCTTCCACCTCAAAAACAGAAAAGAAAAAAAAGAAAAAAAAAAAACAAAACAAAACACAAAAAATTTTTTCTTTCTTTTTTAAATTATCTTACATAGTTTTAAGCCAAATTTTAAAAGTTAACATTGTTGTTTACTGATATGATAAATTACACAAAAGTTCCTTTTTGTGAAACATTTTGATTTTTTTTAAAAAAAAAAGAAATTTTTTTTTCTAAATTCTTTCCAATCATGATAAATTACATTAGTGTTACTTACTTACTTACTTACTTTAAGACTAATATTGCACTGATTAGAATCATTCAAAATTTGGTGCTTCATTCTCATTTTCTTTCCTCTTTTCTTCATCTTTTCTTATTGAATAACTGATAATGATAATAATATCATTTCTTCTCTCTTATTGAATAACTGATAATGATAATAATATCATTTCTTCTCTCTTATTGAATAACTGATAATGATAATAATATCATTTCTTCTCTCTTATTGAATAACTGATAATGATAATAATATCATTTCTTCTCTCTTATTGAATAACTGATAATGATAATAATATCATTTCTTCTCTCTTATTGAATAACTGATAATGATAATAATATCACTTCTTCTCTCTTATTGAATTACTGATAATGATAATAATATCATTTCCTCTCTATTGTATAACAACCGATAATAATAATAATAACAATAATAATAATAATAATAATAATAATAATAATAATAATAATAATAATAATAATAATAATATCCTCTTTTATGTAATAATTGATAATGTTATCATTTTTTCTCTTAAAATTACTGATAATGATAACAACCATGCATATCACTTGTTCAGTAAACTTTTATTCAATTTAAAAGAAATTCTAATAATGGAAAAAAAAAAGATTATTCTTTTAGTTTTTTTTTTAGTAAAACATAAAATTTGTTAGTGAGAAATTTTCCACTTTATTTCCAATTCTTTATTTTTTATTATTTTATTTTATTTTTTATCATTTAAAAAGATGAAATGTATTGCTAATAAATGAACAAAATTTCTCACAAAAAAAAAAAAAAATCTTATTGAATAATGAAAAAGAGAGGGAGGGAATGAGAAAGAAAGTAAAATTAGGACTGATTTTTATGCCATTTTTTCTTTTTTAAAAAAATAAAAATAAGGAAAAGGCTAATTTGGTTTTAGCAAATCATTTGACGTTGTTTGGGAATAAATTTAATAAAGAAATTAATTATATTTTCGAGAAATGAATGAAGGGTGGGAAAAAATTGAGCTTTTGTTGCCCAGGTAACCAAATGAATACCTATTTGTAATTAATAATTAGTAGGAATTAATCTTCAATCTTTTAGCTTACTTTTACTGTTATATCATTCCATTCCAACTTATTTAGATTAATATTTCTCTTACAATAAATAATTTCAAATTTTCATTTAACCATTTCAAATTTTGAATATCCTAATTATCTAATAATAATAATATTATCAAATATTTCATTAATTAGCCATAATAATTACAAATAATTACTTAACTTTTGATTCTATTTGATTATTAATTTACTAAATTGCAGAAATGAAATATTTTTTTATATAGCAAATGAATATTGTATAAGTTTTTTTTTTTTTTCAATTTCTTTTTTTTTTTGTTAAAAAAAGGTGCTAAAAAAAGAATATCTTTATTTTTATTTGGAAATATTTTTCATTTTTTTTTTTTTTCTTTTCTCTTTTGGAAAAAAATAAAAAAGAAAGAAAAGAACAAATGAAAAGCATAAGAAATTCTTTTTTTATTATTTTATAATTTTGAAAGAATTTATTTTTCAAATTTATTTGAACATGAATGAAACAACTGTTAAATAGATTTGATTTATGATCACTTCCTAAAAATTAATTATAAAAATAGCAGATAAAGATTGATTAAAAATTGCTGGAAATTTTTCATGATAATTAATGAAATAATTATGAAATTCAATCCATTGATTATTGAATAAAAAATTTTTGAAGGAAATGCAAAAAGAGAAAAAAATTAAATAATTTTTGAAAAGAACAAATAAAAAGCATAAGAAATTCTTTTTTATTATTTCATTAATTTTTTTTTTTTTTTCTATGAATTTTTTTGGATAAAATTAAATTAGAACAAATAAAATTAATTTAGAACAATTTATAATTCAATTCAAATTAGTTTATAATTTTTTTCTTTTTTTTTTATATTTCAGATTAGTTTACGAATTTAATTGTTTACATGTATAGTGTGCTAACAAGTATAACTTAATAAATTTTATAAATATTTTAGAAAATACAAATACAAATTTATATATGTCAAATAATAATAATAATAATAATAATAATAATAATAATAATAATAATAACATTAATATCAAATAGGTAGCACAGTTGTTGATTTTGAAATACAAAATCCTTTTAACAAATAAACCATAAATCGTAAGCCACGTTCACCACCTGGAGCATAGCTAAGTACATACCTAAAATTTAAAAAAAAAAGTTCAAATATTTCTTCTTATCATTGATGAATATTTTATAAAAATTAAATGATGTCATTTCTTCATTTTCATTTTCAATTTTAATTGCAATAAAATTAATAATAAAATGAATTAATTAAAAGTGAAAAAAAAAAAAAAAAACAGTTGAAATTGATTATTTTATTACTATACAAATTATTATATAGTAATGAAAAACTTTATTGAATATTTGAATAAAAAGTTGCATGATAATTAACAGTTTCTAATTTAATAATAGAATTAATTTAATTTCTAATTTAATAATAATAAAAAAAAAAAATCATAAGTTAATAATCAATTGGAATAAACTAATATTTGTCAATTTTATCTTTTTTTCTTTTTTTTCTCTCCCTCGTTCTTTCGTTTCGTTTTTTTTTTCTTTTTTTTTTAAAAAAAAAATTATTATTTTCTATTCATTTTATTATTCAAATATTTAATAAAAATATTCTATGTTAAATTCAAAAATTTACAATCTAAATAATTCCAATATTTTATTAATTTTTAAAAAAGAAAGAAAATCATACCATATAAGTGCTACTGATTGAAATATTGCGCATAATATTGTTATTAATGTATTCCGTAACTGAAATATATGATTATATGCTAAATTATTACACTACACGTGTTTACACGTAACGTAATAGATACGTCGTATTTTTGCAAAATCAAAATTATTATTATTTTTATGATTATATGCTAAATTATTACACTACACGTGTTTACACGTAACGTAATAGATACGTCGTATTTTTGCAAAATCAAAATTATTATTATTTTTATGATTATATGCTAAATTATTACACTACACGTGTTTACACGTAACGTAATAGATACGTCGTATTTTTGCAAAATCAAAATTATTATTATTTTTTTGTTTTTCAATTATAAACTAACTAATTGATTAAGAAGCAAGAATAAAAAAAGCAGGAGAAAAGCCTTTTAATTTAATTTAATTTAATAATGATATATAAAAAGAATAAAAAAAAAAGAAACGAAACATTTGTTCTCAAAACAAAAAACAAAAAAAGAAAGACAAATTTCTCTATGAAAATTAATTTATTTCCTTTTCAACCTTCTCTCTCTCTCTCCCTCTCTTTCTCTTTCTCTCCTTTCCTCTTCCAATTTTTTTTTTTAAAAAAATATTCTTTGTAATTTCACTTTAAAATTACTGTTTCTTCTTTTTCATAAATGTTCATTTAATATTCATTCATTCAATTTTTTTTTTTTTTTTTATGATATAATTTTTTTTTTTACATATTTATATTTAAAAAGTTTTTAAAAATTTTCAGTTTATTATTTTTTTTTTTACCATTTTTTCATTTTAATTATTCATTCATTATCTTTTAAAAAATTTTTGCATAATTTCTTATTTTCTTTCTTTCATTCATTTTTTATTTTTTATTTCATCAGTTTTATCTTTCACAACTTCTCCAAACTATGCAATCATTTCAATCAATCATTTCAATCAATCAATCAATCAATCATTTAATCCTATCACCTTTGACCCACACATTCATTCATTTTGTTAACAATCTTTCTTCTCTGTCCACTTTCATCTCTTTAATAATTTGTCACCCTCATATGCTATCAATATTTGATGAATATTATTTTAAAATAAATGAAATATCAATGCTAATATTATATTTTGATGGATTTTAGCTTTTTAGCATTTTGACATATATTTTAATAATATCTAATCAATATCAAATATTATTATTACTTATATATATATATTTCATTTTCCAAACTAAAAATTATTATTATTATTATTAGTTGTTTGCTATTAAATTAGCACAAGGATTAGTACGTGGGAAGTTACGTGAAATTTTGGCCAGTATGTATTACGTGAGAAATGGATTAGTACGTAAGGGATTGCGTGAAAGTTAGACTGGTATGCGTTACGTGAGGACTGCACTAGTAGGTGTTATGCATGTGTTATTGTGAAAATTTTAAAATTAAAAAAATTTTTAAATTAGTATTACTATAATTGTATATTTTATTAAATGAACCATTACACTGATTATCACTGATAATCATTTTATCACTAACATATAGCATTATTTTGATTAAAAAAAGAGAGAAAAGAGGAAAATAATTTAAATAACTCATTGTATTTTTTTAATTTTATTAATAATTTCACTCAAAATATTTCAAATATCTTCAGATAGTTTATAATTTCATTGATAATTTTACATTCTTATCTTTTCTTCTTAAAGATGCACTAAATATTAACAAATTAACTGATAAGAAATAAATTATCAAATAACTTTGAAATATTTAAACTCAATCATTTTTTCTTACTTTAATCATTATCAATCATTTTAGGATCAAACTAATGCAATGATTTTAGTTTTTTTTTTTTTTCTAAGGCTCTTAAAATTTTTTAAAAATTCTTCATTTTAACTCTTCCAATTTTTTTACCATATAATTTCCAAATTTTTCATTTCTTTTCTTTTTTTTTTTTTCTTCTTTTAAAAATTATCTATTATATTTTCTTTAAACAAACAAAAAAAAAAAAAAAAAAGAAAGAAAATTTGAACTTTACTAGAAAAATTTCAAAGATAAATTTGAAAAAATTAATTTCATTTACATATACTTTTCTTTAATTTATTCTGAATAAAATGAATTATTAAAATCAAAAAAAGTTAATCAATTTGAAATAAATAAATTAAAACTCACAAAAACTAATTGATCAATTATTTAAAGTAATAATTTGTCCTTTTCAGTTGTCACATCATTAATGATAAAATTTGCTTAATGGATGGATAAAGTAATGTTAAACAGTTTTTTTTTTTTTTTTTTTAATTTAAATTTTTCTCTTTATAATGATTAAACATTATGAAACATAAAATAAGTAAAATTAAAAAATTGCAAAAAAAAAAAAAAAAAAAAAAGGAGAGAACAAGAAAGACACTTCAATTTCATTCTATTTTTAACATTTTTTCTAATTCTTTTTTCTATTTTAGAAAAAAAAAAAAAAAAATCACACTGAATCACAAATCTTTGATTTTTTTTTTTTTTAAAAAACTTTTTTATAAAAATAGCATAAAAATGCTATTAAATTTTGAAAAGGTATTTTTTTTTTTTCTTTCATTAATAAATTTCTTTCTTTTTTTTTTTTCAAAAAAGTGACGATTTTTTCTTTTTTCTTTTTTGTTTAACAAACTAAGATTTTATTCAAATCACATATGTGTGTTTTCTGGAAAATTTTTGAAATTAAGAAAGAATATTTTATTTATTTTAATATTTATAATGTAATTTTAATTTTAGAATATATATGTTAATTTTTTTTTTTTTAATTTTTCAATTTTTTTTTTTTTTAAAAAAAAAAAAAAAAAAAAATAATAATACCATTATATATACTAAGATTTTAAGATATAAATATATATTATATATATATATTTTTTTTTTTGACTAAAATTTCACACTAATATTGATGAAAAGAATTCGCACTTGTTTGTAATTAATTGGTTAAAAGAATTTCATTTTTCTAAAACTGAAACGAAAAGCAAACATTTTTAGTTAGTCTAATTTTCTCTCTTCCTTTCTCTTCACTTTATTTTAGTTAATTTTCAAAAAAAAAAAAAAAAAATTATAAATAATTTAAAAATTTTATAACCAATCATCATCCTAAATGCACTATAATTATATCATCTTTTTCTTTTCTTCTTTTATTCTTGTATATTTGTTAAATAAAAATATTTCCAATAGCATTATTTGCTAACTATTTAGCAAAAAAAAAAAAAAAAAAAGATAAGTAAATGTTACTTTTGCTTTTAAAGTAAAAAAAAAAAAGAGAGAGAGAGAGAGAGAGAGAGAGAGAAAGCAAGAAAAAAGATAGAAGTAAATGAGACGGATAAAAAATTATTTGAAAAGAGTTTAAATTTTTTTTTTTTTCTTTTCATTTTTCCTCTTAAAAACTAATCTATCTAAAATTAAATAGAAAATAACCGAAATATATTCAATCTTTTAAATTATTCATCAATCATTTTCAATTCTTTTATTTTTTTTTTTCATTTAATCCTTTTGAAACACTTATTTTACGGTTAATTAGTTAAGTTTAATTAATATTACTGTAAGATGAAGAAAAAAAGAAAAGCAATAATTTAGTGATAATTTTGATAATATATCTAATTTATCTTTCAATATTTTAATTATAGTCAAATTTATTTTCTCTTTTCTTTTTTCATATATTTTAGAAAATGTAAAATAATATTATGCAGTAATATTTTTTCATTTATTTTTAATTTTAATCATATTTTTATATTGTTTCAATTTTATTATTTCTCAGTCTTACTCAAGCTATAATAATAAAATATATAAGAAATAAAGATAGAATAATTATATTAAACAAATTTATTAATTTTTAAATTTGCACTTACATTTTTTTTTCTTTTTCTTTTTTTTTTTTGCTATTTAGAAAAAATGTAATAAACAATGAAAATTATTTAAAAATTTTTGAAATAATATAATTTCAAATATCTTTTGGAACAAAATTAGAGGAATGAAATGGTTTAAGCAATTTGATTGATCATAAATAATTTTCTTTGCTAATAATTTTGTATTTTTTTCTTTTTTTTTTTTTGCTTTTTTAATAAAACTATTTAACAAATTTTATTTTCATAAATTTCATTAATTCATTTGAACATTTTATTAAATTTTGTTCCATTTATAAATAAATGCTAAAGGAGCAAAAAAATAAATTCAATTGTAAAGTAATAAAGTAATTATGATAAAAGTAAATATAAATGAAAAATGCTAACTAATTGATCTGTATAACTAATCAATACTGATCAATATACGATGATGATAAAAAAAAATATCAATGTTATACTTTCTTTCTTTTTTTTATCTTTTTATGAAAAATTTTGATCTATTTAATAGAAATATTTACAATGCAAATGGTATTTTTTTTTTTACATATATTTAAGTTTGTAATTTTGTTTTATAATTTATAATTTTAAGTTTTTTTTTTTTTTTTTTTTCCTAAAGATTTAACAAATTAATGTAATAAAATTTATCAAATAAAAATATACCATTAAATAATCAGTACAATTTTTTTTTTTTTTAATTTTTTTTTATTTATTTCAAATTTAAGAAAAAAAAGGATTGGAAAAAAAAAATTTCATTTTCAGTATTATTTAGAATTATTAGTAGTAAATTTGATTTGAAAATATTTGCTGAAATAATTTTCAAAAATCTCTTAATCACTTATTATACTTAATTAATAATTTATAATTTATAGTATGTAAAGCTATTACTATTATATAATTAAAATCTTTAAAATATATAATAATGGAAAAATGTAAGTTTAATATTAATTAATATTATCAAACTATTTTGGAATAATTTATGAATGCTTATGGTTTTAATCATTGAAAATATTCAAAGATATAAGTAAATACTGAGATTACTTATACATATAGATAAATATATAAATAAAAAATTGATAATTACAAAATTATAATTAGAAGATTTGCTAATATAAATTATTTAAAAAAAAAAAAAAAGAAAAATTATTTATATGCTAATAGATATTTTTATTACTACTATTATCATATTTAACTTTTTAAATTTTGCGTTTTTTAAAAAAAAAAATTAGAAAATTATAAAATCAAAATTTAATATAAATTTCACAAAAAAAAAAAAAACAATATTTTAAGAATTAATTTCGAAAATGCAAATACATACTTTTTTAGAGCTCAAAAAAAGTTGCCAATTTCAATTTTAATAGTTCATTTCAAATATAAAAATTCCCAAAATTGATAATAAATACTTAATATTATATATTTATGTTGAGTTAGAATTTAAAAATTTCTCTCATCAATCCTAAAAAAAAACCTATATTTTATATTTCTTTTACAGTTAGTTGATAAGTAATTTTCCTACTACTATATTTAATAAGTTATAAATAGTATATAAATTATAAGTAAGTTATAGTTATAAGTATGATAAATTATAAGTAATTCTTTCATTATTATATTAAATAAATTAAATACATATACTTCTTCAACATTTATATTACATATAATTATATTCCAATTATTCTATCTCTCTCTCTCTCTCTCTCTTTTTTTTTTTTAAAGAAATGTTATTGTAATTGAAATTAAAATTTTTATTTATGTAAATTATGCAATATGATGTAATTTTTCATTTTTGATAATTTATAAGATGTTAAAAAACCTTTCAATTATTCATGTTTCTTTTTTCAAGAAATATCAAAGTTATCATATTGATTGAGCATACTGTAATCGAAATTAAAATTTTATTTATAAAAATTATGCAATATGATATAAAATTTTGTTGTTGTTGTTGTTGTTGTTAATAACTTCTAACAGGTAAAAAGCAGGTAAATTACAAGGATGAGCAATAGACGTAGATCATCGCTGTTCAATCGTTGGAAACAACAAAATAGAAATGAGCAATTTGAAGGTATAACAGAGGAAGAAATGGTTGAATATAAAGAAGCATTTCATCTTTTTGATAAAGTATGCATTGCTTTCTTTTTTTTTTTTTTTTTATACATTGAAATGTGAAATGAAAATAATTAAATATTAAATTGATATGAGTTAGAATGTTAGTATAAAATAGTTAAAAAAAAAAAAAAAAAAGAATTATTCAAAATTTAAATTTTTAAATTTCACCTATCTATCTTTTATACTAGATTTTGATCGATATAATCATAGTCATATTTTTTCTATAATTTTAATGAATTTAAATTCCAATAAGCTAAAGAATTAAAATATTAAATTGATATGAGTTAGAATGTTAATAAAAAAAAAAAAAAAAACATTTAAATAAATTTCACCTATCTATATCTTTTATACTATGATTTGTAATTTCAAAAATTTTAATAAATATTTTTAATATTTTAATATAGTTAGAATGTTAGTATAAAATACTAAAAAAAAAAAAAAAAAAAAAAAAAGAAATATTTAAAGTTTAAATTTTTAAATTTTACCTATCTATCTTTCATACTATGATTTGTAATTTTTTGATTGATATAATTACAGTCAGTAATTTTTCATTTCAATTTTTAATTTTGCTATGATTTTAATGGATTTAAATTCCAATAAGCTAACTTTTTTTTTTTTTTTTAGAAAGATTCACAAAAAATTTAAAAGTTATTTGCATATCTACTAGATTCACTGTAATAAATGTATACTTACGGTAGGAATAAATATATATTTAAGTTATGAATGAAATATATTTGTCATTGAATTGAATTACTAAACAATAAGCAAATAAAATATAAGGAAAGACTGAATTGTTTAAAAAAAAAATATATATATATATCATTATTTAACTGACAACTCATCAAACAAAAAAGAATTATTAAAGTATTTTAGCAAAAGAAAAAAAAAAAATTTCCTTTAGTTTAAAAAGAAAAAAAAAAAAGGATTGAAAAAAAAAAATGATTAATTGTTAGAAATGTTTAGTATCAGCAGGAAGAAAAAAAAAAATGGAAACAAACATAATTTTTTAAAAATTTTCTAAAAAAAAAAAAAAAAATTTAAGAGAAATAAGCGTATGCAAAAATTTACTTAAGCTAAATAAATAAATGTTTAAGTAAATAAATGATAAATTATAATGATATTACCTTTTTTTTTTTTTTTTTTTGTTGCTTTTTTTAAAAATTTTAAAATTTAAAATTTTAAAGGATGGAAATGGATCAATATCATCAAAAGAACTTGGCGTTGCAATGCGATCACTCGGACAAAATCCAACTGAACAGGAATTACTGGATATGGTCAATGAGGTGGACATTGATGGTAGTGGTACAATTGATTTTCCGGAATTTTGTCAAATGATGAAACGAATGAGTAAGGTTAGTTAGTGATATTGATTATTGATTATCGATTGATTATCGATTAGCTAATGAAATCAATCACTTTTAATAGTTTATTGAGGAGAAAAAATTAATTGAAAAAAAGATTTTCAGCTTATGTTTTTTTTTTGTGTTAATTCTATTAAAATTTTCAATTTCATTTTCTTTTGCTTTTTTTTTTTCTCTCTCTCTCTCTCTCTTTGTTTTTTTTCTTAGTCATTCTCTATTCATTCGTATAAATCATGAAAATTTTATAAAAATTCCACAAAAAAAAAAAGAAAAGAGAGAGAGAGAGAAATTAAAATTGACAATTTTTTTCAGTCGAGAAAAAATCATAGCAATGCAAAAAAGTAATCTCTCAACTAAAGAGAAAGAAAAAAAATTGCTAAAAATTGATTCGAAAAAGAAAAAAAAAAAAAAAAAAAGTTATCATCTCGTGGGAATATTGTTTTATTTTTCTTTTCGTTTTTAAATTTTCTTAGGTATATACTTTAAAGAAAAAAAAGAAAAAAAAGTTTTAATAGAATTTTCACTTTCTTTTTACTTTTTTATTTATTTATTTATTTTTTTTTTTAAAGGAGAATGATAGTGAAATGATACGTGAAGCATTTCGAGTATTCGATCGTGATGGTAATGGATATATTACGGCTGAAGAATTTCGATACTTTATGACTCATATGGGTGAACAATTTAGTGATCAGGAAGTAGACGAAATTATGGCTGAAGTTGATATTGATGGTGATGGACAGGTAAGATTTATTATGAATTATTCATGCAAATGAAAGGTATAATAGAGAGATAGATAGGTGGACAGGTAGATAGACAGGTAGCATCTCACTCAGCATTTTATTATATAAATAATGCTAAACTAATGATAATTTAATTGATAATTTTTAGAAATTAGAATAAAAAAGCATTAGTATTAGTATATAAATATGTATTAGTATAAAACAATATATATAAATTTGTGATGGACAGGTAAAAGTTATTATAAATTATTAATACAATAAAAGGTATAATAGATAGATAGTTAAATATTAGCATTTTATTATATAAAATCTAATAATAATAATAATAATTTAATTGTCCTAATAATAATTTAGTAGACAATTTATATATATATTTTTATTTTTCATATTATCAATCCTCATTACTATTTATAATTTTATTATTTAAAAATAAAATATTTATTTATAATTTTATATTATTTAAAAAAATAAAATAATGAAAGAAGAAGAAAAAAAATTTTTTTTTTTCCAAAAGATATCATTACTTTTTTTTCTTACTCAAGGGAATAAAATGAAACTAAAAAAAAAAAAAAAAAAAAATCAAATATTAAAGTTGAGGATTGATAATATGAAAAATAAAAATGATATTAAAAGTTAAAAAAAAAAAAAAAAAAGAAAAACGGAATGCAAATCATAGCTTAAAGCAGTTAGCATAAAAAAATACATATATATATATATATAAATAATAAAAATTTTTCAGATTAATTATGAAGAATTCGTGAAAATGATGACAGCTTAGCGTTTTATTAATAATGGTTTAGCCGTTTATCAACATAAATCAACATTATCAACTTCTTATCACCGACTTCGATTGCAGTAAATAATCAATCAATCAATCAGTAATGATTAAAGAAAAAAAAAAAACAACCAATTTAAATCAGTTAATTAAAATATCTCTGTTATACAATATTATAGTTAGTATCATTTATACATATCGAAATCATTGCTAATTTCTATTTCAAAAAAAAAAAATGAAATTTATTCTTTGGTTAATCATCAAATGATTGCTTTGTTACCTAAAAGTATACATGTAGAAAAAAAAAAAAAAAAAAAAGAGAGAAAAAATTAAATGAATGACTTAATGATTTATAATGAACAGTGATCGATGTTAAACATTTATCAATTTGGAAATATTGATCAATGATAAAATCATTTGTATGTTTTTATTATAGATGAATGTTGCATTTTGCATTTCTAATGTTAGTTTGAAAAAAAAAGAAAAAAAAAATGAAATTAAAAAAAAAAATAAAATCAAAAAAAGAAAAAAAAGCTAAAAAAGAAAAGAAAATAATGTTGAAAGTATAATATTGATAATGCTAGATGATCATTTCTCTTTTCAAATGATTCAGAAAAAATTTGATCTAATAAAGAAAGTAAGAAATAAACCAAATAAAATTAACTTTCAAGAAATAAACCAAATAAAAAAATTAAAATAAATGATAATTTCTTAATTGTAAAATTTAAATATCCAAAAGTTATTTTCACCTTTTTTTTTTGTTTCATTTTCATGTAATTTCATATGAAAACTTTATAGCAAATATAAGAATTTTAATTTTCATTTCCTCAATATATGATACAGGTTAATTATCTAGTTACTTTTATGTGAATAGCAAATATAATAAGATTAAAATTACCTATAATTATCTAGCATCTAGTCTAAACGAATTCTTTGATTATATATAAATAATTTAAAAGTATTAATTACTAACAATTTTGAAAAAAAGAAACAAAATCGTTTTAATTGTAAAAGCATTTTTGTGAAACACAAAAGATAACAAATGTTTCAAATCGATTACAAAAAAAAAAAAAAAAAAAAGAAAGAAAACTGCTGAATCATTTCAGTGATCTCCAACAGCACTAAGAAAATATAATATCAATAGAATATAAAAAAAAAAAAAAAAAGAAATTAGAATTTTTCATAAATCTTCGATTGTTATTCTTTTTCAAAATACATTTTAAAAAGCACCAAATTATCTATATATTATTATACGTTCGCATTTCTTTTCTTTCTAATTTTCTCACTTGTAAAGTTAGAAATGCTTTTGATGATATCTTAAATAAAATTAAAGTTGATATTTTAAGTTAGTAATTTAAAGTAATAAATTAGAGTAATACATTCAAAACAAATTCAACTAATCATCAAACTCAAAATGTCTTTTTTTTTTTCATAACATAAAGCAATAAAAAGGAATTAAGAAAATGATAAATAATTCAAGTATGATCAAACTATTTTGCCATAAAGCAACCTATCTACAACTACCTTTTCATCATCATATACCTATTAAAAACTTAAAACAAACAAAACTTGACTGCAAAAAAAAAAAAAAAAAAAAAGAAAACAAACAAACATAAAGTTTAAAAATCCTAAAATCCATTAAATTAGTATCATGAAATTTTAAAAATCATTATATAATTCTTAAAGTAGCAATAAATGTTAACAAGTATATCAAGATAATAAGTAATATTATCTAGCAAAAAATTTATTACACTCTTAATGCTAAGCATTGTTCTTTTGATACTAATATAACATTAACTTTTGACCACTTATACTCTACCTTAGAATCTATAAGTTATAAAATATCTACGATGAAAAAAAATAATAAAATCATAAATAATAATTAAACAAGTATACACTCACTCACTCACATACGATCGATGATTACTTTATTTAAAAAAAAAAAAAAAGATTAGAAAATTAATGTTTGGAAGAGTTAATTAGATTATCATTAAATTACACTACCTAATTAGATGATTAAATTATATTACTTAAATTACATTATCATATAAGTAAAAGATAAAAAATTTAAAGAAGGAAAAAAAAAAAAAATATATATTCATACCCATAAACTAAAATATAATGTTGCCACAAGTGTTATGATATAAGCGATTGTAACATTTCTTCGTTGTTCCGAAAACATATGTTTCAAGTAGTTTACTGGTCCCCATAAAAAAGCAAAACTGAAAAAATAAATGTTACTAGTTGAATTAAGAAAAAAAAAAAAAAAGGCAACAATAATTTTCAATCACTTTCTAAAAAAAAAAAAAATGTATTAAAAATTGAAAAAAAAAAAAAAATTATTTTAAAATTTTTTCTCATCTATAGGTAAATTAATGAATGAAGAATAATTGATCTTATTATCATAACAAAATTCATTAAATGACTAAAAGCTAACAAATCGTTTAATCATTTCATACTTTGAAATCTATCTACTGATGATAGTCTAAATGTTATCTGCGTCGGAAAATAATGGTAAATTTACATTAGATTAAAGATTGTCTTATTTGAATATTCATTAGAAAATATTTCAACCATACATATATGTAAGTAAATATAAGATCTTTTTCAGAAATATTTAACTATTATATTAATATGTTAGTTCGATTATGTTAATTTTATGATTTACAAGGTAGTAATTAAATTAGTAATGAGAAAAAAAGAAAATAAATGTTTAAGGAGGATGAAATAAATTAATTAACAAACCTTAAAATTAACATAATCGAACCAAGCGTATTCAAAGCTGCAAATTTTCGAGCTTGCATAACTAAAGTAGGAAGCAAGATGACAGCCTACAAAAATATTTTTATTATTTTAAAAGAAAATGATAATAATAATAATAATAATAGACATTTAATTAATTAATTATTTTTTATCTTTTATGAATGTTAAACATTATAAAAATGTCATTGATTATCTTAAAAATTATAAATTTACACTTATTTTACTTCAAATTACACATTTTCTTATAACACAATATCACCATGAATAAGAAACAATTTCTAATCATTTTATTTTTTTTTTTTAATAAATCTATCAAAAATTAAAACGTAATAACTTTACTTACTATTCCAAAACAAATAAATGCTGCTCCTATTGATACAAAAAATGCGACAATCCTCTGCATTCTTGACATTCTGTAAGAAATAATAATCATTATTTAAAAAAATAATTTCCCTATGTTTTCATTTAGTTATTAATGAAGGCTACAGAAGAAATAAATATTTTACAAATGATTAATAAATCAATTCAAAATATAAATAATAAAAACTACAAAGAATAATACTAACAATTATTTATATCTATAAATTCATCTTTCAAATTTTAATTTATACATTAAATTTCATTCTAAAATTAATATTAACAATACTATTAAAATTATTATAAAATATAAAATTATCCATTTGAATTTATTGGAGGAGAAAAAAAAAAAAGCAAAATTAAAAGTAAACAAAAAAAAAAAAACCCAAAAATAGATTCATCATTAGAAATAGAACTGAACCATGCACCACCATTTTTACGATTTCGGAATTGTGGTAATTGTCCAGGTGTTTTCCCAGCTGATTCGGTCAATATTTGCTTATCAGAATTATCATCATCGTTATCATCTGTTGAGCGTAATAACGACAATGCATCCAAACTTGATGTAAATTTTGATCGTAGAGCATTAATTGATGAAAATGTTGTTGATGTTGCAGTGGTAGTTGTAGTACCAAATAATGAATTCTTAGCTTTTTGTTGATTGATAAATTCTTGAAGATCTGACATCACTGCAGAATAAAAAAGAATACAAAATTTTGAATTTATTTATTTAATAAATTGTAAATATTAAAATTAAAAAAAAAAAAAAAAAAAAAAAAAGCACATACAAAATTTTGTTATATTAGTAATAGCTATTTTTGTTGTATATTTTTTGGAAAAAGATTTTATTTTAGGATTGAGAAAGATAATAAATGATAAAGTTAACTGATAAAGATATGATTTAGCTATCTGATAAAATACAAATAAATAAAAGTAACAATTTTTACTTTTTTTTTTTTTTTTTTTTAAGACTATTAAATTAAAATTGACGTATAAAATTTTGAAAAAAAAATTGCTAAAGCTTAAAATTCCATTTATTGCACTAAATATTTCTCAATTTCTTCTTTTTTTTTTTTTTTTTCTTTTTCACGACATAATAAATTTGTTTTAAATTTAAAAAAAAAAAAAAAAAAAAAAAAACTAATCAAATCGATTTGTTACTGAAAAAAAAAAAAAAAAAAAAAAAAAAAAAAAAAAAAAAAAAAAAAGGAAAGAAAAATCAAAATCAAATAAACACTTGGACACATATGTATGTATATACATATTTAAACATAAATAGAAATTAGAAATATATTTATTAAATTTTTTTTAAAAAAAAAAAAAACTGTAATAAAAATTTGGAACTGAAGAGATGAAAGCTTTAGAAATGACATTAATACAAAATCAAAAAATCGAACTCTTTTTCCTCTTTCATTTTTTTTTTTCTAATTTCAATTGCACAGTTATAAATAAAATTAAAGCATAATTTCAACACCTTGTTTCTTTTTTTTTTTTTTTTTTAAAAAATAATCAAATAATAAACTAATTATAGCTAATAACTCATTCATTAATTTATTTTATATATATATATATATATTTTTCCATTTTTAACCGATGTAAAAATAACGGTATTTGAACTTTAAATGAAAAACTATTTAATTCATTAAATCATTTCTAATTTAAATTATTGAAAGAAATCCTTTTTCTTTGATATCACTGATAAAATTACTAGAGAAAGAAATGAAAATCAAAAAGTAAGAAAAGAGGAAAGAAAAAAAAAGAGGAAAACAACTCGTGATAATAAACAAAAAATTGTGTTCAATATTTTCAAAATTCAATAAAAAAAAAAAAAAAAGAAAACTGATAAAATTAATGCTGTTATTTTAAAATAATCATAACAAGTTCAGGTTAAATAATTTTAAAATTATAATCAATTAATTTCAAATGAGCAACACAGATATTTAAAAATGATTACATCATTGTTCTTTCTTTTATAAAAATAAAATGATTTCATTTGAAGTGTAATATTATCATCCTGAACTTATAATGAAATATGTTTAAAAATATTTTACAATTATAAATTAGCAATTATTGTTATTCAAATTATTATTTTCAATTTTATTCTATCGTAATTATAAAATTATGAAAAAAAAAAAAAAAAAAAAAAAATGAACACAATAACAAACTAATAATATTATCATTTAAGCAATTCTATAATTAATCTTTTGCATTTCTTTTTTGTTTTGCTTCAATAAAATTTATCAAAATGAAGAAAAAGAAAAGCAAAGAAAAGTGAAAATATGAAAATGTGAACATCATTCTGCTTTTCATGCAATCATGAAAGCAGTGTTATTTCAAAGTGAATTTATAAATACAAAAAATTCAAAACCAATAATAATTCAGTTTTTGGTGATGTCATTGCCAGATAAATAATTTCATTGTTTTGAATAATGCTTTCACTTAATATGCCTATCCGTAGCATCTTATTATACTCAATAATATCACCGTACTATTATCAAAAATATTTTCAATTAATTGAGTGATCAAATAATTTGTGTACTTACTTATTAATTGCTTATTTTTTACGAATTTTACTTTTCTAAAACCTGACACTTTTTATTGATATCATATGCTAAAATCTTTCATTTTTATTCCAAAAAAAAAAAAAGAAAAAATTTATTAACACTTCCTGTTTATACCTTAATTTAGACTAGAAAAACTCTATTCTACATAAAATTTAACTATTCTAAATTTCATTTTACATTATATGATATCAGCATACAATAAATTGATTCAATCTTATATCTGATATGAGTGAATAATAAAAATTTTTAGCTAATAGCTAAAAAATAAATGAAGTTAAAAGTTCCAAAATTGTGTAAACAGTATATAAATTGAAAATTTTTGAAGTTATAAAAACAAAAGAGTGAAAAAATAAAAAGAAAGGATACTAATCCTGCACTGAACAAGGCTTCCAAATACAATAAATGTTACATTATATCACATCATTTTTCTTATCAATCATTTTTATATCAATAATTTCTTCCTAATGTCCATCATCATCTACTTCAACATACTGAAATTCTCCTTCTTCTAACATAGTTATCATTTCTGCTCGTAGTGTTCTCATTTCTTCCAAACAACGCATCATATGGCTGCGTAATTCAACATTCGCTTCATAATAAAGTTGACATGTGCTACCTATAGGTCCTTCATGATCTTCCGCCCTGTAAAAATTTTTACGAATTACGTAAAAAAAAAAAGAAAAAAACTTTAAGAGAAGCATAAAGATTATTATTCAGTGTGAAATCTTTCTAATAGTGCATGATTACATTAATTAATGAAACTTAAAAACTGGAAATATGAAAATGCATCTGAAAAACTATCCAATTATGGTTTTTATTACCAAATCAATCCATCTCTATGTAACAGTTGTGGACATTCGTGAAATCTAACAACTGAAAATGTGAAAGTGTTAAATAAACTTACCTAGCATTTAGTACATCATCTTGACTCACAGTTGTTTCCCATGTATCATCATCCACTTCCTCGGTATTAGCAACATTACTAATGTCCACTACTACGTCATCATCAACATGTTCAAGTGTGGAGTGACTAACAATAGGCATTTGATTTTTTGAGATTAATGTACCATCAGTAAACCTGAGATCCTGAAAAATTTTTGACCTTTTATAGGAAGGAAAATAATTTACTAACCGAACTGTTGATGATAATAATACATACTCTAGAATCATCCAAAAAATCTGTTTTATAACCTAAAAATATGAAATTATATGATATCACTTATCTTAATCAATTATTGCTAACTGTACAATTTAAAAAAAAAAAGACAAAAATTAAATGACCGTTTTGGAAGAATCATGAATGATGGGTTCGTAATCTTTAGCAAAATAGAAGCGATCAAGATTTTCTGCCAAATTTTTAACCATATCAAGTGCAAAGACTTCACATTCATCATGATGTGCAGGATACATATTTTCGAGAATTTCATCCTCTTCCACCTTTACTGTTGCTCGAGTCATCCCTACAGATGGCATTTTATTGTTATTTTCTTTCAACATCTAATAAATAATTATAACATTAAAATCTTTTTACTCTGCTACAAATACATGATACTTTATAAATATGATTGTTTTAGATACCAGCTCAAATTTTCGATAACGATATATGGTAATACGAGCAATCAGTAATTTTAATAGCTCATCCCGAAAACACAATTCAGATGAAGAAGACTACAGAAGGCTATTTATGCAGAAATGGAGATTTTTAGTAATAAAAGATTAAAGACATGAAGATAAGTAACTAGTGAGATATATGATTCAGTGGTTTTGCATGAGCAAAATGTTTAATCATTTCTCAAATAACTAATATAAAAACTTTATGAAAAAAATAACTAATATAAAAAGTTCTAGAAAGAAAAAAAAAAGACAAAGATTTATTCAGAAAAAGATTTACAAAAAACAACATTTAATTAATCAAACCTTCAACATTTCCCATTCTTCTATGTCTTCGACAAAGAACATCACATTTCGAACAGCGATAATAGATAATACCAAGCTTATCCGATTTCCCATTTATACGATAAATTCGCGCCGTCTGACCGTCCGGTTCAAAAATGATCAACGGTGGATGCTTGAAACGTCCGCTCATAATTTCTGCTTCATGCGCAATACCACTATAATTTTTATGAAATCACTTATCTCACTCTCATAATCTGATATCATTTTTTGCTCATTATCATACAGCACAATATGAAATTCTATGTTATCAATCATAGTTTAGCTGATAAATATATACAAAAACGAAAACAAACCTCTGATCTTCTTCTGTTTCAACATCACCTTGTTCATTAGCCATCATTCTGAAACAATACATTTTAGAAAATAATTACACATTGTAAGAAAGCAGTTTGTTTGGTTTGCTAATTAGCAGATGTAAAAACAAATGCGAAATGCGATTTAATATCTTAAGCTATACTTACTTTTCCTCAAATAAAATTTAATAATAATAATGCAAGAATAGGTAGCAATAAAAAAACTTCCCATTGTGCAGAAAAAAAAATTTCAAAAAATAATTAAACCTTAAAAGTTGCCGATTTTTTTGCTTCCTCATCCTTTCTGCTTGATGACACAATCGACTGTATTTCTTAGGAAGTGATTTCCATTTATCCGGAAAAATATCATCATCCTGGATATGTCTTTTCAATTCACGATTTTTCTGTGCAACTAGTGCTCCCTAAAACATATAGAAAAAATATAAATGCCATATAATAGCTACACAAACATTAATAAAGATGCACTTTTATTTGAAAATATAAATTAATCAAAGAAAAACTAAGAAAACTAACCAATTTCCTCGCTGCTTCAGGTGTTAAATTACCAGCTTGAATCCTTGCTCTACAAGCTCGATCAATTTCCTGAAGCTGTTGAACTTCCTTTGGTACTGGTTTACATTCTGGCAAATGCTCTGGATAAGCATTTCCGATTATTCGTCCATCTTTCGTCTTAATATGCGCAAAGTAACGCTTTGTACGCTCAGTTGCTAATGAACCTGTAAGCAAAAAAAAAAAATCTGTCGAAGACAAATAACACTCGTCGATCTAAAATAAACTCAAAACTTGAAAAAATAGTTCGGCAAGAGATAACATACCGGAATTTTTCAATTTATTGTTCGCAAGTGAATCACATTTGGAACAGCGATAATAGCAAGTTGCACCCTGTTTACCTCGTCCATAAGCACTGCACCGATATATTCTCACTTTTGATGGGTCATCCTTTTCCGGAATTACAATCGACGAATGAGTTAATCGTAGAGAATGAACTTGACGTGGTATTGGTGGCACCGGAGATGTGTTCACGGTTCTATAAATGAAAGCATTAAAAAATGACCACTATTTTTTTATATTTATTATTTTTTTAATGCTACAACTTACTCATCTGATAATTGCTGTCCTTGATTCTTTTTGCCTTCTGATTTAGCAAATTTTTTCGTCTCGCTATTAGTATTGTATGCAACTGTATCATTTCCTTCATTCATTTGTGAAGATGGCGCCATTGCTGTACTACTTTTTTTAGCCAATGAATAGGTCCCATACTAAAATTGATATTTAATTTTCTAAAAAAGGAAAAACAATAAATTCTGAGCATATTTAAGCTTCAGTCCATGTTTACTTATATTAGGCTTTATGTGGTAGTGCAAGACTTTTTTTCTTCATTTCCTCCTATGATACAGCTATGTCATTTGATGCAAATGTTGTAAGTGCAGGAAAATATATGTATAAAAGATAGATAATATAGCAAATTTGCAAAATGAAGAGATTTCAAAAAATCAGATTAACAAAAAATTAAAAAAAAATTACCCTTTCTTCAAGCAAACAGTGTACTCGCTTTCGAACAGTTGACTGTGACAACTGGCATCCAGTTTTATAGGCAATCATATCTGTTCCCATTTTTTCCGTTAACTCCCTAGATGCAATCTTTTCCAAAATTTTTCGTATTGATGGCGAAGACCAGTCTATTTTTCCAGTACTATAAATAACTTCACATTTATAGTAATGAATGAATCATAGTTGCATTGTAAAAAAGAAGAGAAAGAAACATAGTTTGTAACAAAAAAAAAAAATCGCTAAATGAGTTCCTGGAATAAATTTCCGGTCTACATTTACACATCAATGACAAGCAATTTAAAATATTTTTGTATCTCTCCAGAAACTACCTAGAAAATAAATCTACCACTAATTAGTGATAGAAACATGGAAGGCAATATTTAAAACATATTTTCAACATGATGTTGTCATCTACATTCCATTTTAAATTTCGCTATTTTACTTGGTAACTGCAAAGCAAATTACAAAGAAAATTGACCAAAGCTAACAACTGTTTTCTTTGCAATTAAATATATTAACTTTAGTGGATTGTAAAAGTAACTGAAATTTGTAAAACATAATAATAACGAAATGCAGTTGCAAATAACACCTAAAGTTGAAAATTAACTTACTTCATTCTAGTTCCATTAGAAACTTGCATATCATTTGAAGTCATCATTGTATCTTTTGCACTGTTCTAAAAATAAAGACATTTTTCAAATATTAGTGCAAAAGTTAGAGAAATGAATTCCCTAACTACTTAGTATTGATTAAAATTCATCAGTGAAAGTGGAAAATTTATCTAAGCCACAAAACTGAGCTTATTTATTTCTTAAATATAATATTTCTTAATAACATTATGAAAAACTTTTAACGAATACAGCAATAAATGATTTTATCATTTCTATTACGATATTAATTTTAGAAGGAAATATGCATTTATTTTATTGTTATACAAAATATGCATTTATTCTATTCTTTTTCTTTTTCCTTTTCTTGTTTTTTTTTTTTTTTTTTTTTTTTTAATGTTATATTTGTGTAATGAATGCAAAAAATAATCAAACTACAAACGCGACACATCTTCCCATATATTTTACACATAATAATATACCTCAACAATAGGTTCAATCGATTCTTTCGTCATATCGATTGATATTTCTCCCGTTTTTAGTATTTCAGGATGATTATTTGCATAATGTCGAGTTATATTTGTGGGTGAACAGCATTTGATAATTCTTTTACATGCATTACATCTAAAATCGTGACCGTCACCACTAACAAGAGTCCAAATACGACGGTTTCGTTTACGACTCAAAGGTACCACCGATGGAGCATCTAATGTGCTATTACAGTTAATGGTCAGTTCATCGTCCTGAAAAAATTTTCTTAACTTATATAGAAATATAAAGAATTTTGCTTATGACTTTTGATCCATCTTTCTAGCACATGTAATGCGCATTCTGTAAATTCAGCAAACAAAGGTTTAGGAAAATTCCAGAAAGATTCATTACTGCACATTCTATCTTAATCGACAACGTTTAAAACAACTTATATTCCAGCCTAAAACCGAGCATAACAATGCTAGGTTAGATTTGAAAAGCTGAAAAGCAAGAAAAAAAAAATTGTCCTCAAATAAAAAGAGAAGTAGTGTTGTCGAGAGAGAGAAAGAAAAAACCAAATCAAAGAAATGTCATTGATACTGAGAAAAACTTCAGCAGCTAAAACAGCTTGCTGAACATATATGTTACAAGGTGTTTGTGAAACAATTAAAAGAAAATGCTGCATTAATTCATAAAAACTTTGGAATAATTATTAATAACCAATAAGTCTCTCACTTGTTTCGATGTGCCCTGTTCCGATAGAAAAATGTTTGAGGATATTTCTTCATTATCATCAAGCTGTTCGCAGGATTGCTCAACTAACGAAGAAGCAACATTCCTAAATGGATAGTAAAGTGAAATTTGAAATCGAAAGGCTTGAAAAAAAAAATCGAATAGAAACGTATATTTTAATACTTTCTGCATATTTCTCCTAGTATTTAAATTAAACAGAAGCTAATATGAGCAGATTTTTGAAGCGATAAAAAAATACACATAAAATGAAGTCTTTATCATCTATTCCTTCAAAAAATAAAATAATCACCAGTTTGAATTACATTTTAAAAAAGAAAATGAAACTAACGCTTTCTCAGGTACAACAGACATATTTTATGCGCTGCAATAGATCCGATATATTTTGTGTTGTTTCAAAGTAGCAACCTAAAAAGTTACAAGCTATAAGTTACATTCATTTATGAAAACATAGCGGTCGAACAATCTTTTGAAATAAGCAAGTTATGTTTAAAACATTTCCATATTATCTTTTGTCGCCAACATCAAACATTAAAAATTTTATCTGAAGGAGTATGACAAATTATAGTAAATACATTTGGAAAAAAAAAAATTGTACACATAGCATGCTATCTTCTAGATATATTCCAGTTCCACTGTGTCATTTGAAGTACTACACAGAAACATGACAAATCATCAACTAAAACTAGAACAGATTTCTTACGTTAGCTATTCAAACATTTAAACCAGAAAATTCGCAGACGTTCAAATGATGTATCAACTCTATTGCTACAGTTAATGCGCAATTAAACTACTTATTAAAAGCACTACTGCTTAATTTTATTGGTTTATAGATAAAAGTCGACTTTCTCACATTAAGTAAAGCTATAATTGAATAAACTGAAATGATAAATTTAGCAAATAAATAATAACAGAAACAAGTAAAATACTTTTAAAAGACAAAAAGGAATAGTAATGCAAGAGTTTTAGCAACAATAATGCAAGAAGAACAATATTTTTATAAAAAGTAATCCATGTTGCTTGTTTTTTTTCGTTTGGAAATATCATCTATCATCTAATTATTGACAACCTGAACATATTAGAGCGATAAATAAAAATCATATGCTGCATAACCACTACAACGCAAAGAGACAACAAAAGAACACTCAACATAATATCATCTTTGCCGATAAAAGTAAATCCGAATCTTTTTTTTCCTTAAAAATGACATGGATTTCCAAACAAAAGATGATGCAATGAAATTGTCTGCTTAAAAGAAAAAAAATGCGACTCTGGCAATAACCGAAAAAAAAGAAACTATCAAGTTCTCAAACTTATGGGAATTGAACTATCGGAAAACAGATATCCAACGCAAAATTTCCTTACAAAACAGTTTGCACAAAATTACTGTTAATAAAAAAGATTACTCATCTACAACATAGAAGCTACTGCTATGACCTTCCTCTAAAACTTACCCATTTTCTTTATAACATTTAGCATTCGCACTAAAACGTTTGACTTTCCTCATCAACTCTCTCATTTTAGCTGAATCCATCAAAATTTCCTAGTATAATTCATATTATATTGATAAAAATGCCTGCGAAAAGCACCGATGTTCTTGAAGCTCCGAAGAAAAATGATACTTACAAAAGATCACGACAAAAGTGAAATATTTCAAATGACAGGACATTTCAAATTAAAATTTGTAAAAACTGCATAAAAAAGAAAGATTGTTGCATAAAATCTGCTTGCATTAACATCTCGTCCGTATCCCAATTCTGCTCATTCGATCTATCAATATACAAAGCCTTCATCCTGAAATCATCATTTGTAACTCTAAAATTTTCAAATGATAATGAACATTTGGAGAGTCGAAATAATGTTTCAATTCAATATACGAATCAAATTTCCATAAATATACTTCACATGAGGTGGCCTAAAATTTGATATCAACATTGGACTTCTTAACCCAGATTTTGAACAGTGTGACAGGATGGTGTATAAAATGACAACTACTACTTTCAGAGGAATAATCCTGTGATTTACCACGACAGAAAAAACCTTCGAGTCATTACCTAACTCTTTCAGTGATTCTAATGATGTTGGCGAGCATCCTGTATGATGTGACAGTACAGTCTGCATGAATTCTGAAAACTGAGAATTAATTTTAAAAAATTAAGAATTTAAACAAACTGGGCTATAAGCAGCCACTTCTCGTAATAGTACCAGAAGAAAACTTGGCGTATTTCACTAAGTAAAATATAAAAATAATAAGTTTATTAAACAAGACCGGAAAAGCATAGTGAGTAGTTTAGAATTACAATTAATGAAGAGAAAAAAGATGAAAATTTAAGTAAATATTAGAAATGACTATTACTAAAAGGGAGCAAGAGAAAAGCTTAGCTCTTCTCTTGATCTACTGATAGCAGACGAAAAATCTCCTGATACATTCAGATATTCAAGCTAAAATCGATATAGCGACCAAATAGGTTCAAATGACTAACAAATTCTTCTGGAGATCTACACAGGAAGTAAGACATAACTAGCTCTAACCTTGACTCGGCAGGCACGATTCATTTAATGTAGCTCTTGGATTTCTTTAATTACAGTCATAAAGTCACGATGAATGTGCGTTTCCAACCAGTTTCCTGTGCAGTACCTTTATATACAGTTGTGATCAACTATCATCTTTAATTGATATGAATGAATACAAGGCAAATATTCATGATAAAAATAATTGAGAGATAACAGCAAAGTAATTAGGAAAAGAAATTAACACAAACAGTTGACCGTAATCATGTGTTTATTGATTTTTCCTTTAACTCACTTTAATTAATTAAACACATTTATAATGAAATCTAATCATCACAGGTTTTTTTTTTTTTCCAATGTTTCCATTTTGGACATCAATAATATATTGTAGATTCTGAAAACTCACAGTTCAAAAGATCATAAACTCGGGATTGTATTGAGTATCTTCTTCTGCAACTGCAATCGACGACATGCTTAACTTGATTGGCTGTGTCGGGAAATTAATAATATGGAAAAACTGGCAAACTGCAACTGAATGATATTATTAATTAGTGCATTTAACTCAAACAATATCAAGAACCACTACCAAAACAGTCAACCTTTTATATCAAAGGACATAAAAAGAGTCATATCAGTGAATGATTAACTTTTACTTTAAATGCACTCAATTCATTTCATTAATCTTCACCTACAAATATTCGCAAAGAAACTACAAAATATAAAACCTTTCAGCCGATATTTCCATGTGAAGACTTTCTTGCTTCATAATACGTCAATATTTCTTGCATCAAGGGTTACACCACTTCCAGATAATGATAACCAGTCCACTTTGATCATATGTCGCACTTCTTTTCTTTCATCATCTACAATTAATTTATGACTTTCTTTAACTGAAAACGATATTCGTTTCATTATAATCATGATCAAAGTTATCAAAAAAGAACAAACAATAAGCAGTGAAAAACAAACATCGTAAACAAAAATTTCTAATATAATTTCTAGAGTCTGAATCGATAACAAATAGATAAGAATGATAAGAAAGAATGTGGAAAACACTTAAATCCTATCTTTTATTACTTACTCTTTTACCTGCAATATATCTCATATTTCTTTGTTGTAAATTTTTATCTATAACAAAATTACACTTTAAATACTGAATAGTCCTATTTGAAAAATAGAAAAAAAAAAAAAAAACATTTATCTTGACATTTACCTTATTAACAAGCGATCATTCACTAAGAAATATCCAATAAGTAGAAATGAAATATTTCCTAGTAATGACAGTTTCTACTTCATTACTTTCATGCGTAACTAAATATTTTCCTATCTTTATAACACGCTGTTTCACGTAATTCAAATTCTTACTTTGCATTACCTTAAAGACAAAAATTAAATTACGTGACGTGACATTAACAAACGTAAATGACACAATTACGTCAAACAATTCCAAATTTCTTCTGTAACGTAAAACATCTCTACCAATTTGTCTAACAATCTATTACTACCTCTCTACCGCTAGCAACCAATACTATCTCATATATCCTCTCAACTACTACCACTCCCCACAATTCCACCATCATACACTACACCCCACTAATTGTCTATCTTAAAATTCTTACCCTACACTTCATTGCTATTACTCAAAATGTCGTCAACCCCTTGTTTCTCTCAAAATAGCACACTATTACTGCTACTTCCAATCTCTGGGCAAAATAATCACACCCTCTCTAACATTCCTCTCTCCCTCTCTCCCTCTCTCTCTTCACTATATCTTTAATTCATGCCTTAATTATTGGTTTCAAATAATCATTGTTGCAAAATATCGTAGTTGCAAACATTCGTTGTAAGACTCAATCAGTCTTATATAAACTTTCTTTCAAAAAAAGAAAAAAACTTTTGTTGAAAACTTATAAATAGAGTGGGAATTTAGATGTTATTGCATTATACTAGTGATCAATTTGTTATATGGTTGAATGAATCCATTCTATTTTACAGGAAATCTCGGGGCGAATCCGAGGCGATTTGATTTTTTCTCTAACAATTACTTCTATCAACCATTGAATTATATGAGATTTTTTCATCAACAAGCTAATGCACGGTATATTTGCTTTTCATTTCTTTCAATTCCAATTTCATATCTTTCTTTATGTACAAATTTATAAATCTTGTTGAAATTTTAAGATTTTATCCTTTTTTTTTTTAATTCAATTTTTTTTGAAAGATTTAAAATTTTCTTGAAATTAAATTTTTTTCTTAAATTTTGAATTCTTTACAGTATGATATAGATGAAAAGGAAAAAAATATAAATTAATGCTTGTTTGTATCATTACAATATTAGCTGTTATATTATTCAATATTAATATTGGCTATTGAAAATTTCTTTGATCAAACATAAATCAAGCAATCATTGATTAGCTATTAAAAACTTAGCTCGGCTATTGACTATTGATTAACACTAAAATAATCTCGAAATTTTAAATGTAAGAATTTTAGATATTTGGATGAACTTCTAATGGAATTACAAGAATTGAATGAAATTAAAGTGGAATATCCTGGGTTACTAGTGCATTCACATATTATTCTTGCTGCCGAATTTAATAGAGTATGGAATATACTATACAACAAGCAGTTCGATGAAAATGTTTGCTTATAAAACTTTTTTTTTTCTTTTTATCAAAATAAATGGAATAAGTTATTGTTAATTTAATTATTATTTCATTTGTTTTAAATTTGTTTCTTTCGTAAACGATTTCTTTTTCCGCCTTCTTCTCCTTATCAAAACTCAATTGATTTTACTACTATCAATTACGTTAAATTAGATTTCAATTTAAATTAGCGTAAGATATGTATTAATTGAAATTCAAACATAAAAAGAAAAAAAAAACCACAGTGTTATATAAGCAGACAGCCAATAAAAAATAATCACTCATTTTAATCTAATTTAACTACTTTTTTAACTATAGATAAACATTAGCGTAAATTTTACTAACTTTATTGATATAAACTAAAATAAATTATAGCAATTTTGATTAAACGTGAAAATTATAAAATTTCAATTTGGCTATAAATTAACAAACAAATCATTATAAAATATTTGTCAGATATTGGAATCAGCAATATTGGACGAATCTAATAATGTAACATTGCAAGAAAAGATTGCATTATCAAATGAGCAAATCGCTAATTACACAGGAAATGCAGACAAATTGCATTATGCATCACTGAAACAATTAGAAAATGAAACAAACTGTCAAATTTTGATACGTGGAAAAGGATCATTGTTGGTAAGTAATAACTGATAGTCTTCATTAAAATCTCTCTTTTTTTTTTTTTTTTTTTTAAATCAAAATAATAGTAAATAGGGAATGAACGAGAAATTTTTTATCAGTTGGTCATTTTTTCTTTGTTTAAGAAGAATAATTGATGATTGTAATTTGTTGTTCTTATTTAATCCAAATATTATTATAATATTCATCAAAATTTATTTGAATATTATTTAAAATCTAATAATTTGATTAAACTCAACAATAGTAACATACATAATTAAAAACAGCGTTAAAAAATTAATTGATATTTTAGGATGACCGTCTAGAAACTCGTTTGAAGAATTATGCAGGTTGGGAGCATTTATCAGAACCACTTCATCTACTAGTACGCGCAAATGATTCAACCATTACACTGTGCGCCATGAAGCTTGCAGATGGCGTGCAACATATAAAGCAATATCTTAACGAAGAAGTAATCTATCGATAATTATTAACTACAATAAAATAAAAATAAAAATTGCTACTCTCATTTCTTTTGTACTATCAAGTTTGCTAAATAAATTTACACAAATTAAGAAATATTTTCATTTAATATGCAACCAATTCCAAATTTATGTTGTAATTTGATAAAAATTTCATCTAGAATATGTCAAAACTTCAAGTAGTAAGTGATAATAATGAAAATCACAGTGAAATCACAGTGATCATGTTGATCAATAAACATGTTGATCATTGAAAAATGAACTGATAAGGATGTATTAGCTCGCTTGCCAGGAGAGATAAGAAATTGTTGAGCTTCAATTTTTTATTCAAAAATGAATCGTAAATTTATGAAATTTATTAACTGATTAAATAAACTGTTAAGTATAAAGCTCATTTATTGCATATGACAGGGTAATAATTATTTCAATTTATCATTTAAGATTGAGTGATGAAATTGTGACATACTATTTCAAATTATACTTAATTCGATTATTATTTAAAATTTGCATTATTTGGTTTGTTTTACTTGTTTACTAGTGTATCGTTCTATTGCAGTATCACGTCGATGCTTTTCCGATTGAACACTTACATTCAAAGTAATTGATAGTACCATTAATATTATAAGTAAAAATGCACCGTATCTGAAAATTTTTTAAAAAATAAACAATTTAAAATTCAAGCACATCGTTATCAAATATTTTCAAATAGCATCAATAAAGTGTATTCAAATATTAAAAAATTGTATTTATAATAATCCTAAAAAAAAATAAATAAACAAAATTACTTGAAGAAACAATATTTTGTCTAAATGAAGTGCTTAATTTTTACAACTTAATTGTAATTGTAGAGAATTTTATTGATTAATTTAAAGTTTTAAGAAAAAATTGAATTATATATAACCTGATACCAAAATTAACATATTCAACAATTTCCTGGCGTTGTTTGCCTTTATTAACAACAAGGCTAAATGTTCTCAAAACGTCACCATCGTATGCTCGGTGACAACTGCAAAAAAATTAAATAAATAAACAAATAAGAATTAGGATTCTCCTTGTAAAATAAAACATATAAGTTTATTTTTTTTTTTTTTTTTTTTTTTTGTGAAAAAATTATTTGATTAATGAAGTTTTAAATAATTTGTGAACTAATTAATTATATTTGCAATATTACTTAAAATTCTGGATAATCAAAAAATATAACAATAATATAACAATAATTAGATTCGTTTTTTTTCTTTTTATTTTTATCAAATTTTATTATAACCTAAAGAAACTTTCATCATCATCCAATGTAAGATAGTTTATGATAAGCTGATTATCACCATCGATGTAAATCCTCTTATCAGGATATTGTGCTAGTAATGAAACAGATGAAATATATGTTTCATTTAATGCCCAAAAAGTGCCAAATTCTTTTTGTGGACAAGATAAAATATAAGGATCATTTTCAAAAGCCTAAAAAAAATATTTTTTGAAAAAATGCATTAATCAGTGGATCTATTTGTAAATTCTGAATTATTATTATGATAATTTCAACTATATTTTAATAAAAAATGCAAAATTTATCTTAAATTAATAACTTTTAATATCTTCTTAAATTTCAAAAATTCAAACTGTTTTTATTTTAATGCTAAAATTTGTTTTTTTTTTTTTAAATTTCCTTTCTATAAGCTTTAATTATCTATAATTACATTGTATTTAATAAAAGCTTAAATTAAAACTAAAATTTAGATTGAAATTTTGAGATTAATTTTTTATCAATTTTGATTAATTTATCAATTTTTTTTTGCTATATAACCTGTATCACTTCTCGTTTTACTGCTTTCCGAAGTGGCGGTAATCGTTCATTCATTTGATATTCACCTGGTGGAATTTTATCAATGATAATATTTCGACCAAATTCATTTTTACTCATAATTAAACGTGTTTGTTCAATTTTTGCTTTTGTACATGGTACCTAAGATGCATTTTTTATAAATTTTTTATAATAAATATTA